ATCGAAAAATCCAGAAATCGAAAAGTCGAAAAATTGAACAACCAAAAATCGAAAAATCCTAGAATCAAAGTCGGGAAAAAAGAGAAATCCAAAAATCGAGATCTCGAAGTCAAAAAATCAATAAATCGAGAAACTGAAAATTTGAAAACTCCAAAAATCGATAAATCAAAAAATTCAAAACGAGATTCGATATTTCGAAAGTGGAAAAATTCAAAAATCACAAATCCAAAAATCGGAAAGTTGAAGAATAGATCAGTTCAGAATAGAAAATCGTAGAATCGAAGTCGTAAAAGGAGAAATCCAAAAATCTAAATTTCGAAAAATCCAAAACTCGATAAATCGAAAAATGGAGTAATCCGAAAATCTTGAAAAACAGAAAAATCTGAGAGTCGACATATCAGGAAATTGAACAATGTAAAAATGGAAAAATCCAAAAATCGTAAAGTCGATAAGCGAAGTCGAAAATTCCAAAAATCCAAAATCGAAAAGTCGAAATATCCAAAAATCGAAAAATGGAGACTTCGGAATATCGAACAATTAAAAATTTACCAATCGAAAAGTCGAAGAACACAAAAATATAGGTATAGACTAAGCGAAAAATCCAAAAATCGAAAAGTCGAAAAACTGAAGAATCTAAAAATCGAGAAGTCCTAGAACAAAGTCGGAAAAAAGAGAAATCCAAAAATGGAGAAATCGAAGTCAAAAAATCAAGAAATCGGAAATTTGAAAACTCCAAAAATGGATAAATCAAAAAATCCAAAACGAGATTCGAGATTTCGAAAAATCCAAAAATCGAAAAGTCGAAAAATTGAACAATCCAAAAACCGAAAAGTTGAATAGATCAATTCAAAATCGAATAATCGTAGAATTGAAGTCGTAAAAAGAGAAATCCAAAAATCTAAATTTCGAAAAATCCAAAACTCGATAAATCGAATAAATATGAAGTCCAAAAATCGACCAATCGAAAAATAGAAAAACCAAACATTCGAAAAATTAAAAAAATCGGAAAGTGAAAAGATTGAAAAGTGAAAGCCTAAAAATCGGTAAAACGAAAAATGGAGAAATCGTAAAGTCGAAAAATTGAGAAATTGAAAAATTGAAGTCGAAAAATCGAGGAATTTAAAAATGGAAGTCGAAAAATCGAGAAATTGAAAAATGAAAGTCGGAAAATCGGGAAATTGAAATTTTGAAAAAATCAAAAATCGATAAATCAAAAAATTCAAAACTCGAAAATTTGAAATTTCAAAAAATCGAAAAATTAACATCACAAATCGGGAAATCCAAAAACCCAAAAATCGAAAATTCGAATGGACTGAGAAATCCAAAAACCGAAAAATCGAAAAGTCGAAGAATTGATCAATGCAAAAATCGAAAGGTCGTAGAATCGAATTCGTAAAAAAGAGAAATCCAAAAATGGAGAAATCGAAGTCAAAAAATGGAGAAATCGGAAATTTGAAAATTCCAAAAATCGATAAATCAAAAAATCCAAAACGAGATTCGAGATTTCGAAAAGTCGAAAACTTCAAAAATCCAAAAACCGAAAAGTTGAAGAATAGATCAATTCAAAATCGAAAAATCGTAGAATCGAATTCGTAAAAAGAGAAATTCAAAAATCTAAATTTCGAAAAATCCAAAACTCGATAAATCGAATAAATGACGAGTCCAAAAATCGACCAATCGAAAAATAGAAAAACCGACAATTCGAAAAATTTTAAAAATCGGAAAGTGGAGAGGTTGAAAAGTGAAAGTCTAAAAATCGGTAAAACAGAAAATCGAGAAATCGTAAAGTCGAAAAATTTAAAAATTGAAAAATGGAAGTGGAAAAATCGAGAAATTGAAAAATTGAAGTCGAAAGATCGAGAAATCGAAATTTTGAAAAACTCAACAAAAATCGATAGATCAAAAAATCCAAATCTCGAAAATTTGAGATTTCAAAAAATTGTCGAAGTCGAAAAATTGATCAATCCAAAAATCGAAAGATCATGGAATCGAATTGGTAAAAAAGAGAAATCCAAAATGGACAGTCGAAAAATCCAAAAATCGACAAATCGAAAACTCAAAGTCGAAAAGTCAAAATCGAAAAATCGAAAAATGAAAAATCTTGAAGTCGAAACATCAAGAAACCGAAAAATCCAGAAGGCCGATAAATCCAAAAATTGAAATTTCAAAAAATTAAAAACTCGAAAAATGGAGATTTCAAAATATCGAAAAATTAAAAAATTACTAATCAAAAAATCCAAAAATAGATAAATCGAAAAATCCATAAATCGAAAAGTCGAAAAATTCAACAATCCAAAAATCGAAAAATCCTAGAATCAAAGTCGGAAAAGAGAGAAATCCAAAAATCGAGAAACCGAGAAAAAATCAATAAATCGAGAAACCGAAAATTTGAGAACTCCAAAAATCGATAAATCAAAAAATCCAAAACTAGATTCGAAATTTTGAAAGTGGAAAAATCTAGAAATCGGAATACTCAAAACCCAAAAATCGAAAATTCGAATTGACCGAGAAATCCAAAAATCGAAAATTTGAAAAATCTTGAAGTCGAAACATCAAGAAACTAAAAAATCCAGAAGGCCGATAAATCCACAAATTGAAATTTCGAAAAATCCAAAACTCGAAAAATGGAGATTTCGAAGTATCGAAAGACTCATAAATTACCAATCGAAAAGTCGAAAAATCCGAAAATAAATAAATCGAAAAATTCAAAAGTCATAAATCGGAAAGGCTAAATATCCAAAAATGAAAACTCGAATAAACTGAGAAATCCAAAAATCGAAAATGGAAAAACTGATGTATCCAAAAATCGAAAGATCGTAGAATCAAAATCGTAAAAAGGAGCAATCCAAAAATGGATAATCGAAAAATCCAAAAATCGACAAATCGAAAACTCAAAGTCGAAATGTCGAAGTCGAAAACTTGAAAAATCTGTAAGTCGAAATCTCAATTGAGAAATTTACAAACTGAAATATCGAAAAGTCGAAAAATCCAGAAGGTCTATAAATCCAAAAATTGAATTTTCGAAAAATGGAAATTTCGAAATATCGAACAATTAAAAAATTGCCAATCGAAAAGTCGAAAAACACAAAAATATAGGTATAGATCAAGCGCAAAATCCAAAAATCGAAAAGCCGAGAAACTGAAGAATCTAAAAATCGAGAAGTTCTATAATCAAAGTCGGAAAAAAGAGAAATCCAAAAATGGAGAAATCGACACATCCAAAACTCGAAAAATGGAGATTTCGAAGTATCGAAAGATTCATAAATTACCAATCGAAAAGTCGAAAAATCCGAAAATAGATAAATCGAAAAATCCATAAATCGAAAAGTCGAAAAATTGAACAATCAAAAAATGGAAAAATCCTAGAATCAAAGTCTGAAAAAAGAGAAACCCAAAAATTGACATCTCGAAGTCAAAAAATCAATAAATCGAAAAACCGAAAATTTGAAAACTCCAAAAATCGATAAATCAAAAAATTCAAAACGAGATTCGAGATTTCGCAAAAAGTGGAAAAATTCAAAAATTACAAATCCAAAAATCGAAAAATCCAAAGTCGAAACTTCAAGAATTTGGAAAGTCGTAATTGAAAAATCTAGAAATCGAAATACTGAAAATTCGAAAAATCAAAAAATCCAAAATCAAAAAGTCGAAAAGCCCATCAACCGAAAAATCAAAACGTAGGGGAAAAAAACGATAAACCGAAACACAAAAAATCTAAAAATGAAAAATCAAAGTCAAAAATCGGGAATTTGAAAATCTGAGAAATCTAAGTCAAAAAATGATATCGAAGTCAAAAAATGATATCGAAAATTTGAAAAATCAAAAAATTGATAAAGCAGAAAATCCAAAACAAAAATTCGATAAACGGAAAAATTCAAAAATGGAAAATCGAGAAATTGAAAATCTAAAATCGGAAAAATGGAGTAACCCAACAATTAAAAAACCCAAAAATCGAAAAATGTATCAATTGAAAAATCGAGAAATCGAAAAATCAAAAATGTAATGCCCAAAAATTGGATTTATCGATTTTTGAGCTTTTTTCGAGTGTTCGATTTTTGGATCTTTCGATTTTTCAATTTTTTGATTTTTCGACTGCCATTTTTGAATTTTTCGGTTTTCGATTTTTTGATTTTTGCATTTTTCGAGGGATTTTTCCCCCCCATCCTCCACCCCAGCCCGCCCAAAAAACAAGAAGTCATCAACTTCGTCCTCCCCCTCAGCGGCCGCTACAAAATCTTCCGCCGCTTCCTCAAGATGTACGAAGACGTCTGCCTCAAACGCCAAGAAGAAGCCAAACTCTTCGTCGTCCTCTACCAGAACGACCGATCCTCGAACTTCCTCCGCAGCGGCGCCCTCATCGAAGACGTCCAGCGCACCTACGGCAGCGACACCGTCGTCGCCATCTACACCAACGAGACCTTCTCCAGAGCCCGGGCCCTCGAGCGCGGCTTGAGCCTCCTCAGCGGCGACGACCTGGTGCTCTTCATGGACGTGGACATGATCTTCCACCCCCGCAGCCTCCAGCGCGTCCGCCAGAACACCGTCAAGGAAAAAAGTGTCTATTTCCCCATAGTGTATAGCCTGTACAATCCTCGACTCCTGAACAGGACGTACCCCGATAATTACTCATTTTTCAGCGACGATATCGTGGACGAAGACAGCGGTTTCTGGCGGCAGTTCGGGTTCGGGATCGTGAGTTTGTACAAAAGTGACTACGTGGGTTTGGGGGGGTTGAACTTGCTGATATCCGGGTGGGGGTTCGAGGACGTCACCTTCTACGACAACGCGATCAAGTCGAGCTTGAGGATCGTGAGGAGCGTCGATCCTAATTTGATCCACGTCTATCACTCCATCGAATGTGATATTAATTTAGACGCTGCGCAAAAAACTATGTGCTTGGGGACTCAGGCGAATATGTTGGGGTCTTTGAAGCAGCTGCAGAAGGTGTACGAGAGGTACGAGGAGGTGGTTGTTAGTTAGGGGTCGATAGTTTTTTGAAAATGACTGTGATCGCATCGTATTGTTTTAATTTTAACGAAGTTCCTGTTTTTCGAGCTGTATTTAAAATCTCAATTATTGACAAGTCTGAATTAGTTGAAATTAAGGGCAATGTTGCTGTTGAGGCGAGCGTTAGCTGTTATTTATGTTTTAAGTTGCCAAGAGAAACTGCCATAATGTATGTAAGGATGCATTTATATACTTGTATTAAAACTAGCGTAATAAATTTTATATTTTTAGTTGGTGTTGTTTGTGGAAAGGAAATGCCAAAACTGTTTTATCTAAGTTTGTTTATTGTCGTTTCTATCAACTTTGTAAAAAGTGAGGTTAGTCACACCACTGCTTGGGTTTTTTGTTCGATACGGTTGGCAGCGGTGAGATCTGACGTTTATTGTATTTATTACCCCTATTTGAATTACGTTCAAGTTTTTCCTCCACTTTTTCCCCAAGTACGGAAAAACACCTTGAACACAGCAATTTTTCATCATTTATACCGGAAGTGGCGACTATAAAGTAAGGTTACACTGCCCTGTCTGGGTTTTTTGTTCAATGCGGTTGAGAGCCATGAAATTATGCAAGTGACAACTTTTTTGACATTAAAAAAAAAAATCCAGCGTTTTAACCTCACTCCGATTTTCCCTTATATTTTCAAAATTTACACTGGGAGAAAAATATACTCGGTTACCAAACAGATGGAGTCGTAAAAGTGCGTATGTAACTGAAAATCGAAAAACTGAAAAAAAAAGTTAAATAATTAAATAAAACTAAAAAATGGAAAAAATGAAAGCTGTAAAATACAAAAATTGCATTCCAAAGTTTTAAATCGGAAAATTGAAATATCAAAACATTCCAAAGTCGAAAATTGAAAAATCGTAAAGGCCAAAAAGCCAAAAATCCAAAAAACGAAAAGTAAAAATTAAAAAATCGAAAAAATGAAAAGTGGAAAAATCGAAAATTTGAAAAAATCAAAAATCGGAAAGTGAAAATCTCAAAAAATCAAAGTCTAAAAATTGGCAAATGGGGGGGGGGGGGGGGTCGTAAAGCTAAATATCCAAAAATCGAAAGATAAAAGAATCACAATCCTAAAAAAGAGCAATCCAAAAATGGATAATCGAAAAATCCAAAAATCGACAAATCGAAAACTCAAAGTCGAAAAGTCGAAGTTGAAAAATTGAAAAATCTGTCGAGATCTAAATTGAGAAATCTAGAAACGAAAATGTCGAACAGTCGAAAAATCCAGAAGGTCGATAAATCCAAAAATTGAAATTTCGAAAAATGGAGATTTCGAAATATCGAACAATTAAAAAATTACCAATCGAAAAGTCGAAAAACACAAAAATATAGGTATAGATCAAGCGAAAAATCCAAAAATCGAAAAGTCGAAAAACTGATGAATCTAAAAATCGATGTCCTAGAACAAAGTCGGAAAAAAGAAAAATCCAAAAATGGAGAAATCGAAGTCAAAAAATCGAGAAATCGGAAATTTGAAAACTCCAAAAATCGTTAAATCAAAAAATCCAAAATGAGATTCGAGATTTCGTAAAGTCGAAAAATCCAAAAATCAAAAAGTCGAAAAATTGAACAGTCCAAAAACCGAAAAGTTGAATAGATCAATTCAAAATCGAAAAATCGTAGAATCGAAGTCGTAAAAAGAGAAATCCAAAAATCTAAATTTCAAAAAATCCAAAACTCGATAAATCTAATAAATGACAAGTCCAAAAATCGACCAATCGAAAAATAGAAAAACCGAAAATTCGAAAAATTTTAAAAATCTGAAAGTGGAGAGGTTGAAAAGTGAAAGTTTAAAAATCGGTAAAACAGAAAATCGAGAAATCGTAAGTAAAGTCGAAAAATTGAGAAATTGAAAAATTGAAATCGAAAAATCGAGGAATTTAAAAATGGAAGTCGAAAACTTGAAAAATCTAGAAGTCGAAACATTAAGAAACTAAAAATGGAGATTTTGAAATATCGAAAAATTCATAAATTACCAATCGAAAAGTCGAAAAAACCAAAAATAAATAAATCAAAAAATCCAGAAATCGAAAAGTCGAAAAATTGAACAACCAAAAACCGAAAAATCGTAGAATCAGAGTAGTAAAAACGAGAAATCCAAAAATCGAGAAATCTGAAAGTCGAAACTTCAAGAAACTGGAAAGTCTAAATTGAAAAATCTACAAATCGAAATACTGGAAGTTCGAAAAATCAAAAAATCCAAAATCAAAAAGTAAAAGCCCGTCAACCGAAAAATCAAAAAGAAAAAGAAAAAAATCGAACAACCGAAGAAACAAAATATCGAAAAATGAGAAAGTCGAAAAATCAAAGGCCAAAAGTCGGGAATTTGAAAATCTGAGAAATCGAAGTCAAAAAATAATATCGAAAATTTGAAAAATCAAAAAATTGATAAAGCAAAAAATCCAAAACAAAAATTCAATAAACGGAAAAATCCAAAAGTCGAAAAATCCAGAATTTGAAAATCCAAAATCGGAAAAATGGAGAAATCCAAAAATCGAAAAATGTATTAATCGAAAAGTCGAAAAATCGAGAAATCGAAAAATCATAAATATAAAGCCCAAAAATCGAAAAATGGAGACATCCAAATGTCTTGAAAGATCCAGAAATCGAAAAATCCAAAAATTGAAACATTTAGAAATCGAAAAGGGGAAAAGTCAAAAAATCGAAGTTAGAAATATGGGAGTCGACACATCATGAAATTGAAAAATCGGGGTCGAAAAATTTTAAATTCGAAATATCGAAAAATCCAAAACTCGAAAAGTCGAAAAACGAAGTCAAAAATTCCAAAAATCCAAAACTGAATGTAAAAATCTATAAATCGGAAATCGGAAAAGTCGAAAATTGGGAAAAACGAAGTATAAAAGAGAAATTCAAAAGTCAAGAAATCCAAAAATCGATAAAGAGGAGAAACGAAAATTCCAAAAATCGAAGATTCAACAAATCCAAAAACCTTTTGGAAAAGTGGAAAAGTCGCAAATTGAGAAATCGAAAAATCGGTGTCGGAAAATCGAGAAAAGTAAAAATCGAAGAATCAAAAACTGGAAAAATCGACTAGTGAAAAAATCAAAAAATCGAAAAGATCGAAAAATGAAAACTCGAAATATCGAAAAATGGAGTAATCCGAAAATCTTGAAAAACAGAGAAATCTGAGAGTCGAAATATCAACAAATTGAACAATGTAAAAATGGAAAAATCCAAAAATCGTAAAGTCGATAAGCGAAGTCGAAAATTCCAAAAATTCAAAATCGAAAAGTCGAAATATCCAAAAATCGGAAAATGGAGATTTCGGAATATCGAACAATTAAAAATTTACCAATCGAAAAGTCGAAGAACACAAAAATATAGGTATAGACTAAGCCAAAAAACCAAAAATCGAAAAGTCGAAAAAGTGAAGAATCTAAAGATGGAGAAGTCCTAGAATCAAAGTCGGAAAAAAGAGAAATCAAAAATCGAGAAATCGGAAATTTGAAAACTCCAAAAATCGATAAATCAAACAATCCAAAACGAGATTCGAGATTTCGAAAAGTCGAAAACTTCAAAAATCACAGATCATAAAGTCGAAAAATCCAAAAATCGGAAAGTCGAAAAATTGAACAATCCAAAAACCGAAAAGTTGAAGAATAGATCAATTCAAAATCGAAAAATCGTAGAATCGAAGTCATAAAAAGAGAAATCCAAAAATATAAATTTCGAAAATTCGAAACTCGATAAATCGAAAAATAGAAAAACCGAAAATTTTAAAAATCGGAAAGTGGAAAGGTTGAAAAAATGAAAGTCTAAAAATCGGTAAAACGGAAAATGGAGAAATCGTAAAGTCGAAAAATTAAGAAATTGAAAAATAGAAGTCGAAAAATCGAGAAATTGAAATTTTGAAAAAATCAAAAAATCCAAAACTCGAAAATTTGAAATTTCAAAAAATCGAAAAATTAACATCACAAATCGGGAAATCCAAAAACCCAAAAATCGAAAATTCGAATGGATTGAAATCGAAAAACCGAAAAGTTGAAGAATAGATCAATTCAAAATCGAAAAATCGTAGAATCGAAGTCGTAAAAAGAGAAATCCAAAAATCTAAATTTCGAAAAATCCAAAACTCGATAAATCGAATAAATGATAAGTCCAAAAATCGAAAAAAAAACGAAAATTCGAAAAAATTAAAAAATCGTAAAGTGGAAAGGTTGAAAAGTGAAAGTCTAAAAATAGGTAAAACGGAAAATTGAGAAAGCGTAAAGTCGAAAAATTGAGAAATTGAAAAATTGAAGTCGTAAAATCGAGAAATACAAATGGAAGTCGAAAACTCGGAAAATTGAAAAATCTTGAAGTCGAAACATTAAGAAACTGAAAAATCCAAAAGGCCGATAGATCCAAAAATTGAAATTTCGAAAAATCAAAAACTCTAAAAATGGAGATTTCGAAATATCGAAAAATTCATAAATTACTAATCGAAAAGTCGAAAAACACAAAAATATAGGTATAGATCAGCGAAAAATCCAGAAATCGAAAAGTCGAAGAATTGAACAACCAAAAATCGAAAAATCTTAGAATCAAAACCGAAAATTTGAAAATTCCAAAAATCAATAAATCAAAAAATCCAAAACGAGATTCGAGATTTCACAAGTGGAAAAATTCGAAAATGACAAATCGAAAAATTGAACAATCCAAAAATCGAAAAATCGTAGAATTAGACTGATAAAAAAGAAAAGTCCAAAAATCGAGAAATCTGAATGTCGAAACTTCAAGAATTTGGAAAGTCTAAATTGAAAAATCTAGAAATCGAAATACTGAAAATTCGAAAAATCAAAAAGTCGAAAAGCCCTTCAACCGAAAAATCAAAACGTAGAAAAAAATCGAAAAACCGAAAAACAAAAAAATCTAAAAATGAGAAAGTCGAAAAATCAAAGTCCAAAAATCGGGAATTTGAAAATCTGAGAAATCGAAATCAAAAAATTGATAAAGCAGAAAATCCAAAACAAAAATTCGATAAACGGAAAAATCCAAAAGTGGAAAAATCGAGAAATTGAAAATCCAAAATCGGAAAAATGGAGTAACACAACAATTAAAAAATCCAAAAATCGAACAATGTATCAATCGAAAAATCGAGAAATCGAAAAATCAAAAATGTAATGCCCAAAAATCGAAAAATCCAAAAATCCAAAAATTGGATTTATCGATTTTTGAGCTTTTTTCGAGTGTTCGATTTTTGGATTTTTCGATTTTTCAATTTTTTTGTTTTCGGTTTTTTGATTTTTGCATTTTTCGAGGGATTTCCCCCCCCCCCCATTCTCCACCCAAGCTCGCCCAAAAAACAAGAAGTCATCAACTTCGTCCTCCCCCTCAGCGGCCACTACAAAATCTTCCGCCGCTTCCTCAAGATGTACGAAGACGTCTGCCTCAAACGCCAAGAAGAAGCCAAACTCTTCGTCGTCCTCTACCAGAACGACCGATCCTCGGACTTCCTCCGCAGCGGCGCCCTCATCGAAGACGTCCAGCGCACCTACGGCAGCGACGCCGTCGTCGCCATCCACACCAACGAGACCTTCTCCAGAGCCCGGGCCCTCGAGCGCGGCTTGAGCCTCCTCAGCGACGACGACCTGGTGCTCTTTATGGACGTGGACATGATCTTCCACCCCCGCAGCCTCCAGCGCGTCCGCCAGAACACCGTCAAGGAAAAAAGTGTGTATTTCCCCATAGTGTATAGCCTGTACAATCCTCGACTTCTGAACAGGACGTACCCCGATAATTACTCATTTTTCAGCGACGATATCGTGGACGAAGACAGCGGTTTCTGGCGGCAGTTCGGGTTCGGGATCGTGAGTTTGTACAAAAGTGACTACGTGGGTTTGGGGGGGTTGAACTTGCTGATATCCGGGTGGGGGTTCGAGGACGTCACCTTCTACGACAACGCGATCAAGTCGAGCTTGAGGATCGTGAGGAGCGTCGATCCTAATTTGATCCACGTCTATCACTCCATCGAATGTGATATTAATTTAGACGCTGCGCAAAAAACTATGTGCTTGGGGACTCAGGCGAATATGTTGGGGTCTTTGAAGCAGCTGCAGAAGGTGTACGAGAGGTATGAGGAGGTGGTTGTTAGCTAGGGGTCGATAGGTTTTTGAAAATGACTGTGATCGCATCGTATTGTTTTAATTTTAACGAAGTTCCTGTTTTTCGAGCTGTATTTAAAATCTCAATTATTGACAAGTCTGAATTAGTTGAAATTAAGGGCAATGTTGCTGTTGAGGCGAGCGTTAGCTGTTATTTATGTTTTAAGTTGCCAAGAGAAACTGCCATAATGTATGTAAGGATGCATTTATATACTTGTATTAAAACTAGCGTAATAAATTTTATATTTTTAGTTGGTGTTGTTTGTGGAGAGGAAATGCCAAAACTGTTTTACCTAAGTTTGTTTATTGCCGTTTCCATCAATTTCGTAAAAAGTGAGGTTACTCACACCGCTGCTTGGGTTTTTTGTTCGATACGGTTGGCGGCGGTGAGATCTGACGTTAATTGTATTTATTACCCCTATTTGAATTACGTTCAAGTTTTTCGTCCACTTTTTCCTCAAATCCGGAAAAACACCTTGAACACAACAATTCTTCAACATTTATACCGGAAGTGGCGGCTATAAAGTAAGGTTGGTTACCACAGCTAATTAGTTACACTACCCTGTCTGGGTTTTTTGTTCAATACGGTTGAGAGCCATGAAATTAAGCAGGTGACCGAGTCTGGAGTTTTATTGAAAAAAAAAAATACAAAATTAAAGTTTTAGGTGTCGTTATATCCCACTTCTTTGATATTAAAAAAAATCCAGCGTTTTAAGCTCACTCCGATTTTCCCTTATTTTTTCAAAATTTATACTGGGAGAAAAATATACTCGTTTACCACACAGATGGAATCGTAAAAGTGCGTAAGCCACTGAAAATCGAAAAATTAAAAATTGAAAAAATGAAAATTATAAATTACAAAGATTACATTCCAAAGTTTTAAATCGTAGAATTGATATATCAAAAAATTCCACAATTTTCAAATTCAAAAAATCAAAAATCGGAAAGCGAAAATGTTGAAAAATCAAAATCTAAACGTCGGTAAATCGAGAAATTGTAAAGTCAAAAATTCGAGAAATTGAAAAATTAAAGTCGAAAAATCGGAAATCGAGAAGTCAAAAAATCGCTAAATCGAAATTTTGAAAAATCCAAAAAATCGATAGATCAAAAAAATTTTAAACTCTAAAATTCGAAATTTCGAAAAATCGAAAAATTCAAAAATCTGAAATCGGAAAGGCGAAATATTCAAAAATCGAAAACTCGAATAAACTGAGAAATGGATAAACGAAAAATCGACAAATCGAAATCTCAAAGTCGAAAAGTCAGACTCGAAAAATTGAAAAATCTGTAAGTCGCAATATGAACTGAGAAATCTAGAAACTGAAATATCGAAAAGTCGAAAAATCCAGAAGGTCGATACATCCAAAAATTGAAATTTCGAAAAATCCAAAACTCGAGAAATGGAGTTTTGGAAATATCGAACAATTAAAAATTACCAATAGAAAAGTCGAAAAACACAAAAATATATGGATCAAGCGAAAAATCCAAAAATCGAAAAGTCGAAAAACTGAAGAATCTAAAAATCGGAAAGTCTTACAATCAAAGTCGGAAAAAGGAGAAATCCAAAAATCGAGAATTCGAAGTCAAAAAATCGAGAAATCGGAAATTTGAAATCCAAAGCGAGATTCGAGATTTCGAAAAGTCGAAAAATTCAAAAATCACAGATCGGAAAGTCGAAAAATCCAAAAATCGAAAAATTGTACAGTCCAAAAACCGAAAAGTTGAAGGATAGAAATTCAAAATCGAAAAATCGTAGAATCGAAGTCGTAAAAAGAAAAATCCAAAAATCGAAAAACCGAAAATTCGAAAAAGTCTAAAAATCGGTAAAACGGAAAATCGAGAAATCGTAAAGTCGAAAAATTGAGAAAATGAAAGTCGGAAAATCGAAAAGTCAAAAAATCAAGAAATCGAAATTTTGAAAAAATCAAAAATCGATAAATCAAAAAATCCAAAAATCGAAAATTTGAAAATTCAAAAAATTGAAAAATTAACGTCACAAACCGGAAATTCCAAAAATCCAAAAATCGAAAATTCGAATGGACTGAGAAATCCAAAAACCGAAAAATCGAAAGATCGTAGAATCGAAATAGTAAAAAAGAGAAATCCAAAAATGGACAATCGAAAATCCAAAAACCGACAAATCGAAAACTCAAAGTCGAAAAGTTAAAGTCTAAAAATCGAAAAATTGAAAAATCTAAAAGTCGGAACATCAAGAAACTGAAAAATCCAGAAGGCTGATATATTCAAAAATTAAAATTTCTAAAAATTCAAAAATTACCAATCGAAAAGCCGAAAAATCCCAAAATAGATAAATCGAAAAATTCAGAAATTGAAAAGTCGAAATATTGAACAATCCAAAAAAGGTGGTAAAAACGAAAAATCCAAAAATCGAAAAATTTGAAAGTCGAAACTTCATGAAATTGAAAAGTCTAAAATGAAAAATCTAGAAATCGAAATAATGAAAATTCGAAAAATCCAAAAATCCAAAATCAAAAAGTAAAAGCCCGCCAACCGAAAAATCAAAAAGTAGAAAAAAAAATCGAAAAACCGAGGAAACAAAAAATCGAAAAATGAGAAAGTCGAAAAATCAAAGGCCAAAAATTTCTGCCTCAAACGCCAAGAAGAAGCCAAACTCTTCATCGTCCTCTACCAGAACGACCGATCCTCGGACTTCCTCCGCAGCGGCGCCCTCATCGAAGACGTCCAGCGCACCTACGGCAGCGACGCCGTCGTCGCCATCCACACCAACGAGACCTTCTCCAGAGCCCGGGCCCTCGAGCTCGGTTTGAGCCTCCTCAGCGGCGACGACCTGGTGCTCTTCATGGACGTGGACATGATCTTCCACCCCCGCAGCCTCCAGCGCGTCCGCCAGAACACCGTCAAGGAAAAAAGTGTCTATTTCCCCATAGTGTATAGCCTGTACAATCCTCGACTCCTGAACAGGACGTACCCCGATAATTACTCATTTTTCAGCGACGATATCGTGGACGAAGACAGCGGTTTCTGGCGGCAGTTCGGGTTCGGGATCGTGAGTTTGTACAAAAGTGACTACGTGGGTTTGGGGGGGTTGAACTTGCTGATATCCGGGTGGGGGTTCGAGGACGTCACCTTCTACGACAACGCGATCAAATCGAGCTTGAGGATCGTGAGGAGCGTCGATCCTAATTTGATCCACGTCTATCACTCCATCGAATGTGATATTAATTTAGACGCTGCGCAAAAAACTACGTGCTTGGGGACTCAGGCGAATATGTTGGGGTCTTTGAAGCAGCTGCAGAAGGTGTACGAGAGATACGAGGAGGTGATTGTTAGTTAGGGGTCGATAGTTTTTTGAAAATGACTGTGATCGCATCGTATTGTTTTAATTTTAACGAAGTTCCTGTTTTTCGAGCTGTATTTAAAATCTCAATTATTGACAAGTCTGAATTAGTTGAAATTAAGGGCAATGTTGCTGTTGAGGCGAGCGTTAGCTGTTATTTATGTTTTAAGTTGCCAAGAGAAACTGCCATAATGTATGTAAGGATGCATTTATATACTTGTATTAAAACTAGCGTAATAAATTTTATATTTTTAGTTGGTGTTGTTTGTGGAAAGGAAATGCCAAAACTGTTTCACCTAAGTTTGTTTATTGCCGTTTCTATCAACTTCGTAAAAAGTGAGGTTAGTCACACCACGGCTGGGGATTTTTGTTCGATACGGTTGGCGGCAATGAAATATGACGTTTGTTTGAATTATGTTCAAGTTTTTCGTCCACTTTTTCCTCAAGTCCATAGAAAATCCTAGTGAGGGTATTCTATGCTCAAGTCCGAAAAAATACCTTGAACACAACAATATTCCAAAATTTATACCGGAAGTGGCGGCTATAAAGTACGGATGGCACAGAACACACGGTTGGTTACACTCTGGGGTTTTTGTTCAATACGGTTGAGAGCCATGAAATAATACAGGTGACAACTTCTTTGACATTGTAAATAAAAAAATTCTAGCGTTTTAACCTCACTCCGATTTTCCCTTATTTTTTCAAAATTTACACTGGGAGAAAAATATACTCGGCTACCAAACAGATGGAATCGTAAAAGTGCGTATGTAACTGAAAATCGAAAAACTGAAAAAAAAAGTTAAATAAAATTAAAAATTGAAAAATTAAAGCTGTAAAATACAAAAATTACATTCCAAAATTTTAAATCGGAAAATTGAAATATCGGAAAATTTCAAAGTCGAAAAATTGAAAAATCGTAAAGGCGAAAAAGCCAAAAAAAGAGAAAACGAAAAGTAAAACTCAAAAAATCGAAAAAATGAAAAGTGGAAAAATCGAAAATTTGAAAAAATCAAAAATCGAAAGTGAAAATCGGTAGCAAAATCGAGAAATCGTAAAGTCGCAAACTTCAGAAATGTTTTTCAATTTCTGGAAGTCGAAGAATCGGAAATCGAAATTTCGAAAAATTCAAAAATCATAAATCGGGAAGGGGAAATATCCAAAAATCGAAAACTCCAATAAACTGAGAAATCAAAAAATCGAAAAGTCGAAGAATTGACAAGTCCAAAAATCGAAAAATCGTAGAATTAAAATCGTAAAAAAGAGCAATCCAAAAATGGATAATCGAAAAATCCAAAAATGGACAAATCGAAACTTCAAAGTCGAAAAGTCGAAGTCGAAAAATAGAAAGTAAAAAGAGGAATCCAAAAATCGAAAAATAGAAAAACCGAAAATTCGAAAAATTTAAAAAATCGGAAAGTGGAAAGGTTGAAAAGTGGAAGTCTAAAAATCGGTAAAACGGAAAATCGAGAAAGCGTAAAGTCGAAAAATTGAGAAATTGAAAAATTGAAGTCGTAAAATCGAGAAAGTGAAAAATGGAAGTCGAAAACTCGAAAAATTGAAAAATTTTGAAGTCGAAACATCAAGAAACTGAAAAATCCAGAAGGCCGATAAATCCAAAAATTGAAATTTCGAAAAATCCAAAACTCGAAAAATGGAGATTTCGAAATATCGAAAAATTCATAAATTACCAATCGAAAAATAGAAAAACTGAAAAAAAATGTTAAACAAAATTAAAAATTGCAAAAATGAAAGCTGTAAAATACAAAAATTACATTCCAAAGTTTTAAATCGGAAAATTGAAATATCGAAAAATTCCAAAGTCGAAAATTGAAAAATCGTAAAGGCGAAAAAGCCAAAAATCGAGAAAACGAAAAGTCGCAAACTCGAGAAATTTTGAAAAATCCAAAAATCCATTGATCAAAAAATCTAAAACTCGAAAATTCGAAATTTCGAAAAATTCAAAACTCATAAATCGGAACGGCGAAATATCCAAAAATCGAAATCTCGAATAAACTGAAAAATCCAAAAATCGACAAATTGAAAACTCAAAGTCGAAAAGTCGAAGTCGAAAAATTGAAAAATCTGTAAGTCGAGATCTGAATTGACAAATCTAGAAACTGAAATATCGAAAAGTCGAAAAATCCAGAAGGTCGATAGGTCCAAAAATTGAAATTTCGAAAAATCCAAAACTCGTAAAATGGAGATTTCGAAATATCGAACAATTAAATAATTACCAATCGAAAAGTCGAAAAACACAAAAATATAGGTATAGATCAGCGAAAAATCCAAAAATCGAAAAGTCGAAAAACTGAAGAATCTAAAAATCGATAAGTCCTAGAACAAAGTCGGAAAAAAGAGAAATCCAAAAATGGAGAAATCGAAGTCAAAAAATCGAGAAATCGGAAATTTGAATACTTCAAAAATCGATAAATCAAAAAATCCAAAACGAGATTCAAGATTTCGAAAAGTCGAAAAATTCAAGAATCACAGATCGGAAAGTCCAAAAATCCAAAAATCAAAAAGTTGAAAAATTGAACAGTCCAAAAACCGAAAACTTGAATAGATCAATTCAAAATCGAAAAATCGTAGAATTGAAGTCGTAAAAAGAGAAATTCAAAAATGTAAATTTCGAAAAATCCAAAACTCGATAAATCGCATAAGTGACAAGTCCAAAACTCGACCAATCGAAAAATAGAAAAACCGAAAATTCGAAAAATTTAAAAAATCGGTGAAGAGGTTGAAAAGTGAAAGTCTAAAAATTGGTAAAACGAAAAATCGAGGAATCGTAAAGTCGAAAAATTGAGAAATTGAAAAATGGAAGTGGAAAAATCGAGAAATTGAAAAATGGAAGTCGAAAGATCGAGAAATCGAAATTTTGAAAAAATCAACAAAAATCGATAGATCAAAAAATCCAAAACTCGAAAATTTGAGATTTCAAAAAATTGTCGAAGTCGAAGAATTGATCAATCCAAAAATCGAAAGATCATGGAATCGAATTGGTAAAAAAGAGAAATCCAAAATGGACAGTCGAAAAATTCAAAAATCGACAAATCGTAAACTCGAAGTCGAAAATTCAAAATCGAAAAATTGAAAAATCTCGAAGTCGAAACATCAAGAAACTGAAAAATTCAGAAGGCCGATAAATCCAAAAATTGAAATTTCGAAACATCCAAAACTCGAAAAATGGAGATTTCGAAGTATCGAAAGATTCATAAATTACCAATCGAAAAGTCGAAAAATCCGAAAGTAGATAAATCGAAAAATCCAGAAATCGAAAAGTCGAAAAATTGAACAACCAAAAATCGAAAAATCCTAGAATCAAAGTCGGAAAAAAAAGAAATCCAAAAATCGAGATCTCGAAGTCAAAAAAATCAATAAATCGGGAAACCAAAAATTTGAAAACTCCAAAAATCTATAAATTGAACAATCCAAAAACCGCAAAATCATAGAATCAAAGTGGTACAAAAGAGAAGTCCAAAAATCGAGAAATCTGAAAGTCGAAACTTCAAGAAATTGGAAAGTCTAAATTGAAAAATCTAGAAATCGAAATACTGAAAATTTGAAAAATCAAAAAATCAAAAAATCCAAAATCAAAAAGTCGAAAAGCCCGTCAACCGAAAAATCAAAACGTAGAGAAAAAAATCGAAAAACCGAAAAACAAAAAATCTAAAAATGAGAAAGTCGAAAAATCAAAGTCCAAAAATCGGGAATTTGAAAATCTGAGAAATCGAAGTCAAAAAATAATACCGAAAATTTGAAAAATCAAAAAATTGATAAAGCAAAAAATCCAAAACAAAAATTCGATAAACGGAAAGATCTAAAAGTCGAAAAATCGAGCAATTGAAATTCCAAAATCGGAAAAATGGAGTAACTGAACAATTGAAAAATCCAAAAATCGAAAAATGTATCAATCGAAAAGTCGAAAAATGGAAAAATCGAAAAATCAAAAATGTATATTCCAAAAATCGAAAAATCGAAAATCCAACAATTGAAACATTTAGAAATAGAAAAGTGGACAAGTCAAAAAATCTAAGTTAGAAATATGGGAGTCAAAACATCAAGAAATTGAAAAATTGGGGTCGAAAAATTTTATATTCGAAATATCGAAAAATCCAAAACTCGAAAAGTCGAAAAACGACGTCAAAAAATCGGGAAATCGGAAAAGTCGAAAAATCGAGAAAGAGGAGAAACGAAAATTCCAAAAAGCGAAGATTCAACAAATCCAAAAATTTTTGGAAAAGTGGAAAAGTCGTAAATTGAGAAATCGAAAAATCAGGGTCGGAATATCGAGGAAAGGAAAAATCGAAAAATCAAAAACTAGAAAAATCGAATAGTGAAAAAATCAAAAAATCGAAAAGATCCAGAAATGAAAACTCGAAGTATCGGAAAATAGAGAACGCCAACAATTTTTAAAAATAGAGAAACTGAATGGAGGAAAAGTTAATAAATCGAGAAATCTGAGAGTCCAAACACCAAAAAATTGATAAAGCGAAATCGAAAAATCTATAAATCGAAGAGTTGTAGAACTGGGAAATAGGAAAATAGTAAAAAGAAGGGAGATGCAAAAATCGAAGTCAGAATATCGAGAAAACGAAAAATCGAATAGTGGAAAAATCAAAAAATCGAAAAATCAAAAATGTGATGCTCGAAAAATCCAAAGATCGAAAAATGAAAACTCGAAAATCTTGAAAAACAGAAAAATCTGAGGGTCTAAATATCAAGAAATTGAACAATGGAAGTCGAAGAATGTAAAAATCGAAAAATCCAAAACTCGAAAAGTCGTTAAACGAAGTCCAAAATTCCAAAAATCCAAATTCAAAAAGTCGAAATATCCAAAACCGAATCCATAGAAAAATCGAAACCAAAAATTCGAATAGACGAAAAATCAGAAAGCCGAAAGATAGAATAGTTGAAAAATAGAAGAATTGAAAAGTCGAAGTCGTCCAAAATCGGATAGACGAAAGATCGAGTTGTAGAAGAATTTTAAAAATGTCAATGAATCTTTCACTTTTTACTAGACATTTTTGGAAGGAATAGTTCGACCTTTCGCCTTTTACCAAAGATTTTCGGATGCATTTTTTCCTCTTTCACTAAATATTTTCGCAGGAATTTTCCGTCTTTTACTAAAAATTTTCGGATTGAATCTTTCGCCTTTTACATAACTTTTTCAGGTGGAATCGTATTCCTTATGCTAAAGATTTTCGGAATTAATCTTTAGATTTTACAAAATATACGAAACATATTTGCTTCACTTCACAATTCACCTTTATTATCAATTACAACTAAACTAGATAGTAGAGAACTGACCCGTGGAATTACATTTTCGGACAGATTTCGTCATGCCTATTCTAAAATCTCTGTGATTCTCAACAGCCCACTTTACAATTTTTAGCAAACATTCACAGTTCCATGGGTTATCATCAATTTTAGTTATATAAGCAACAAAAAAGTCCTCGTAGTTTCCTTTCAAGCACTTTAATTTATTCCCTGACGTATCAACGTATCTTATTTGAGCACCCTTCACAAAATCGTCCTTCCATTCTTCGATTTCGTTATCACCCAAGAGCAAACTCTCGAAATCCAGATCATCAAAGCCAAAAATATTTCGTGCCACAGTCTTAATTTTGTTATTGTTGAGCTGGATGTGGTTGTCGTGGTTAGCGAAAAACCCATTGGGTAAGTGTTCGATTTGATTATACCCTAAATCCATTTGAAGCTTCGATTTGTCTTGTTACCATTCTCGGTAGACAATTTTGATTTTGTTGTGGTTTAAATTCAAATTCCTTAATTCTGTCATGTTGTCAAAAGCATGAGGAGAGATGCTATCGATGAGATTATGGTCGAAATCTAGGAAGCGGATTGTCGAATTTGAAAATACTCCATCCTGGATCGTTGTTATTTTGTTCCTCGAAAGTCTTATACCATCTAGAGCATTACTAAATGCACCAGGGTGAATTTCTTTGAGTTCATTTCCTGATAACCATAGATCGGTCAACGCAGGGAAACCTTTGAAGTCACCTGCGTGAATAACCGGCACTGAACCACCGAATATTTCAATTCTGACAATTCGAGAAGCGTTTGATTGAGTCTTGAGTTGATAAGCAGAATTTATTTTACCCGTGACATATTGCTGGTCTTCGGTGTTATACCAAATTTTCACATTTTTGAAAGTTATTTTTTCGGCTAACACACTAAGAACAAATGCAACAAGGAGAATGAATGTTGAACTTCGCGCACACATGTTGAACTGCAACAGATTTCAACGTGGACTGGAGTTGGATAACGAATATATACCATAGATGACGTAGTTGTTATGCACAAACAAATGTTATCATTCTTATTTTATTCCGAGTAATCGTAATTCTGTTGTTTTTTTTTTTGAGACAGGGCGGGTGAGCGGGGCTTATGATTTGACTTGTTTTTTCTTCTTAATATACATATTCTTCACAACAAAAAACTGAAAACATGTTTAAAATGGTAAATTTTATCTTCCACACTTGTCTACAAATTTACCATTTTAAACAAGTTTTCAGTTTCTTGTTGTGAATAAAAGACTACACACATATAAGAAAAAAAAGACAAAATACATACCCCGCCCACCCACCCTCATCTCAATTGTGACGAATTTTCTTATTCGTTGTGAACCTAGGGGCGGAGCTTAATTTTGGATTGTTTTGTTTCTTACTTAAAACTTTTCTTTGAACAACACGTTTACTTAAGAACATCTTTCACATGATAATTTCTCGTCGAAAAGTAAGGATTTTGCAATTAAGCTCCGCCTCCTTGCCAACAACGAAAAAAGAAAAATTGTCACGACTGAGACAGGGCGGGTGGGCGGGGCTTATGATTTGACTTGTTTTTTCTTCTTAAAATACACATTCTTCACAACAAAAAACTGAAAACATGTTTAAAATGGTAAATTTTGTCTTCCACACTTGTCTACAAATTTACCATTTTAAACAAGTTTTCAGTTTCTTGTTGTGAATAAAAGACTACGCACATATATGAAAAAAAAGACAAAATACATACCCCGCCCACCCACCCTCATCTCAATTGTGACGAATTTTCTTATTCGTTGTGAACCGAAGGGCGGAGCTTAATTTTGGCTTGCTTTGTTTCTTACTTAAAACTTTTCTTTGAATAACACGTTTACTTAAGAATATCTTTCACATGATAATTTCTCGTCGAAAAATAAGGATTTTGCAATTGAGCTCCGCCTCCTTGTCAACAACGAACAGAGAAATATTGTCACAACTGAGACAGGGCGGGTGGGCGGGGCTTATGATTTGACTTGTTTTTTCTTCTTAATATACATATTCTTCACAACAAAAAACTGAAAACATGTTTAAAATGGTAAATTTTGTCTTCCACACTTGTCTACAAATTTACCATTTTAAACAAATTTTCAGTTTCTTGTTGTGAATAAAAGGCTACGCACATATAAGAAAAAAAAAGACAAAATACATACCCCGCCCACCCACCCTCATCTCAATTGTGACGAATTTTCTTATTCGTTGTGAACCGAGGGGCGGAGGTTAATTTTGGCTTGCTTTGTTTCTTACTTAAAACTTTTCTTTGAATAACACGTTTACTTAAGAATATCTTTCACAGGATAATTTCTCGTCGAAAAATAAGGATTTTGCAATTGAGCTCCGCCTCGTTGCCAACAACGAATAAAGAAAATTTGTCACGACTGAGACAGGGCGGGTGGGCGGGGCTTATAATTTGACTTGTGTTTTCTTCTTAATGTACATATTATTCACAACAAAAAACTCAAAACATGTTTAAAATGGTAAATTTTGTCTTCCACACTTGTCTACAAATTTATCATTTTAAACAAGTTTTCAGTTTCTTGTTGTGAATAAAAGGCTACGCACATATAAGAAAAAAAAAGACAAAATACATACCCCGCCCACCCACCCTCATCTCAATTGTGACGAATTTTCTTATTCGTTGTGAACCGAGGGGCGGAGGTTAATTTTGGCTTGCTTTGTTTCTTACTTAAAACTTTTCTTTGAATAACACGTTTACTTAAGAATATCTTTCACAGGATAATTTCTCGTCGAAAAATAAGGATTTTGCAATTGAGCTCCGCCTCGTTGCCAACAACGAATAAAGAAAATTTGTCACGACTGAGACAGGGCGGGTGGGCGGGGCTTATAATTTGACTTGTGTTTTCTTCTTAATGTACATATTATTCACAACAAAAAACTCAAAACATGTTTAAAATGGTAAATTTTGTCTTCCACACTTGTCTACAAATTTATCATTTTAAACAAGTTTTCAGTTTCTTGTTGTGAATAAAAGGCTACGCACATATAAGAAAAAAAAAGACAAAATACATACCCCGCCCACCCACCCTCATCTCAATTGTGACGAATTTTCTTATTCGTTGTGAACCGAGGGGCGGAGGTTAATTTTGGCTTGCTTTGTTTCTTACTTAAAACTTTTCTTTGAATAACACGTTTACTTAAGAATATCTTTCACAGGATAATTTCTCGTCGAAAAATAAGGATTTTGCAATTGAGCTCCGCCTCGTTGCCAACAACGAATAAAGAAAATTTGTCACGACTGAGACAGGGCGGGTGGGCGGGGCTTATAATTTGACTTGTGTTTTCTTCTTAATGTACATATTATTCACAACAAAAAACTCAAAACATGTTTAAAATGGTAAATTTTGTCTTCCACACTTGTCTACAAATTTATCATTTTAAACAAGTTTTCAGTTTCTTGTTGTGAATAAAAGGCTACGCACATATAAGAAAAAAAAAGACAAAATACATACCCCGCCCACCCACCCTCATCTCAATTGTGACGAATTTTCTTATTCGTTGTGAACCGAGGGGCGGAGGTTAATTTTGGCTTGCTTTGTTTCTTACTTAAAACTTTTCTTTGAATAACACGTTTACTTAAGAATATCTTTCACAGGATAATTTCTCGTCGAAAAATAAGGATTTTGCAATTGAGCTCCGCCTCGTTGCCAACAACGAATAAAGAAAATTTGTCACGACTGAGACAGGGCGGGTGGGCGGGGCTTATAATTTGACTTGTGTTTTCTTCTTAATGTACATATTATTCACAACAAAAAACTCAAAACATGTTTAAAATGGTAAATTTTGTCTTCCACACTTGTCTACAAATTTATCATTTTAAACAAGTTTTCAGTTTCTTGTTGTGAATAAAAGGCTACGCACATATAAGAAAAAAAAAGACAAAATACATACCCCGCCCACCCACCCTCATCTCAATTGTGACGAATTTTCTTATTCGTTGTGAACCGAGGGGCGGAGGTTAATTTTGGCTTGCTTTGTTTCTTACTTAAAACTTTTCTTTGAATAACACGTTTACTTAAGAATATCTTTCACAGGATAATTTCTCGTCGAAAAATAAGGATTTTGCAATTGAGCTCCGCCTCGTTGCCAACAACGAATAAAGAAAATTTGTCACGACTGAGACAGGGCGGGTGGGCGGGGCTTATAATTTGACTTGTGTTTTCTTCTTAATGTACATATTATTCACAACAAAAAACTCAAAACATGTTTAAAATGGTAAATTTTGTCTTCCACACTTGTCTACAAATTTATCATTTTAAACAAGTTTTCAGTTTCTTGTTGTGAATAAAAGGCTACGCACATATAAGAAAAAAAAAGACAAAATACATACCCCGCCCACCCACCCTCATCTCAATTGTGACGAATTTTCTTATTCGTTGTGAACCGAGGGGCGGAGCTTAATTTTGGCTTGCTTTGTTTCTTACTTAAAACTTTTCTTTGAATAACACGTTTACCTAAGAATATCTTTCACATGATAATTTCTCGTCGAAAAATAAGGATTTTGCAATTAAGCTCCGCCTCCTTGCCAACAACAAAAAAAGAAAAATCGTCACGAATGAGACAGGGCGGGTGGGCGGGGCTTATAATTTGACCTGTTTTTACTTCTTAATATACACATTTTTCACAACAAAAAACTGAAAACATGTTTAAAATGGTAAATTTTGTCTTCCACATTTGTCTACAAATTTACCATTTTAAACAAGTTTTCAGTTTCTTGTTGTGAATAAAAGACTACGCACATATAAGAAATAAAAAAGCAAGATACATACCCCGCCCACCCACCCTCATCTCAATTGTGACGAATTTTCTTATTCGCTGTGGACCGAGGGGCGGAGCTTAATTTTGGCTTGTTTTGTTTCTTACTTAAAACTTTTCTTTGAATAACACGTTTACTTAAAAACATATTTCACATGATAATTTCTCGTTGAAAAATTAGGATTTTGCAATTCAGCTCCGCCTCCTTGCTAACAACGAATAAAGAAAAATCGTCACAACTGAGACAGGGCGGGTGGGCGGGGCTTCTCTACAAATTTACCATTCCAAAAAAGTTTTCAGTTTATTGTCGTGAATAGAAAACTACGTACATATGAGAGAAAAAAAGGCAAATACAAACCCCACCCACCCGCTCTCATCCCAATTGTAATGAATTTTCTTATTCATTGTGAACCGAGGGGCGGAGCTCAATTGCATGGTCCAAATCTAGGAAGCGGATTGTCGAATTTGAAAATACTCCATCCTGTATCGTTGGTGAATTTTTTTGAGTTCATTTCCTGATAACCATAGATCGGTCAAAGCAGGGAAACTCTTGAAGTCACCTGGGTGAATAACCGGCACTGAACCGCCGAATATTTCGATTTTGACAATTCGAGAAGCGTTTGATTGAGTCTTGAGTTGATTAGCGGAAATATTGTTGGTCTTCGGTGTTATAACAGATTTGCACATTTTTGAAAGTTATTTTTTCGGCCAACACACTAAGAATAAGTACAACAAGGAGAATGAACGTTGAACTTCACGCACACATGTTGAACTGCAACGTGGACTGGGGTTTGATAACGAATATATACCATAGATGACGTAGTTGTTATGCACAAACAAATGTTATCATTCTTATTTTATTCCGAGTAATCATAATTCTGTTGATATTTTTGGGAAAAATTCGGACCACCTGCTATGGTTATAAAATTATTCAAAATTTGCTCCAGAATCACCTTTATTATCAATTATCAATATGATTTTAATGTAACTAGATTATCATAGTCGGAAACTTGCCAGTGGAATTGCACTTTTCGGCCGAGTTCTCTACATTGATTCCAAAATCTTTCTGGTTGTCAACAGCCCACTTCGCAATTTTCAACAAACATTCACAGTCCCACGGATTATCATCAATGTAAGTTTGAAGAGCGACAAAGAAGTTTTCGTAGTTTCCTTCCAAGCACTGTATTTTATTCGACATCATCACAAGAGCTCTAACTTCACCACCCTTGACAAAATCTTCCTTCCATTCTTCGATTTCGTTATAACCCAGCCACAACTGTCCAAAAACTATCTTGTCATCCGTGCCAAAAATATCCCTTGACACACTCTTAATTTTATTATGGTTAAGATGAACGTCGTTGTGAAAATTCGCAAAAATCCCGCTGGCCAAGTGCTCGATCTGATTGTACTGCGAATTCACCTCTTCAAGTTTCGGTTTTCCTTGTAACCACTCCGGGTGGAAATTTTTAATCTTGTTGTGGTCTAAATCCAGTGCTGTTAATTTAGTCATGTTGTCAAAAGCATGTGGAGAGATGTTTTCGATAAGGTTATGGTCCAGATCAAGGTACTCTATATTCGAGTTTGAAAATACTCCGTCTTCAATCTTTGTTAATTTGTTCTCGCTCAGTTTCACAGCCCTCAGAAGTGGTAGATTGTTAAGTGCACCAGGGCGGATTTCTTCGATTCCACGGCCCGATAACTGCAAATCCGTTACAGAAGGGGAATTCGAGAAGGCATCTGCGTGAATAATGGGAACTGGACTATCCGTTATAATATTTGAGGAATTTATTTGTACAACGATTGTAGCTAGAAGAAGGAACGATAAACTTGGCGCGAACATCATGCTGAACTGAAACGGGTGAGAGTGAAGAAGTCGAATTTTATACCATTCTTGACCCATGACGTGATTGTTTTTCGAAAACAAGTATTATCAACCTTGTATTGTTCCGAGTTATGGAAAATTTTGGTTATCTTTTTGTTTGTTTGTGGTATGATGACTAATGAATAGGACTAATGACCAACCTAGCGACCCACATTACGGTCTAAAAAATTAAGAAAAGTTTACTAAAAATTTTCTGATGGAATTTTTCGGCTTTTAGTAAACATTTTCAGATGGAATCTTAACTTTTTTCTTTATATAATGAAGCTTTTAACGGTGTTGACATATTTCATCTAAGATATTTAACATTTGTTGAGAGATTTCTTTTGAATACGTAGCGTTATCGTTAATTTTTGGATTAATTTAAATATTAGTTTAGCCACTAGTAATTTATCGTTTCGGAGTTTAATTTTTCTTTAGATTTTACATATAATTGTTTACCTGTAATGGTGTACCCTGTAATTGGTGTATTTTACATTGTTGGGCAATTAAGAAATTATTATTATTATTATTATTATTATTAAAAGATTTCCGGAATGAATCTTTCCCTTCTTGCTAAAGATTTTCCTATGACATCTTTCGGTTTTTTCTCTAAAGATTGGAGGATAGAATTTTTTGCCATTTAATAAAGATTTTCTTTCGGATGGAAATTTTCGTCATTTTCAGATGGAATCTTTAACTTGTTACTGAAGATTTTTGGATTGCAGCTTTCGTCTTTTATTAAAGATTTTCGGAATTAGTTTTTCGTCTTTTATCAAAAATTTTCGGATGAAATTTCTCGCATTTTACTAAATATTTCCGAATGGAATCTTGTTTCTTTTACTAAACATTTTCAAATTGAATCTTACTTCTGTTTTCACAGGATTTTCAGAATGAATTTTTCGGTTATTATTACTAAATATTTTCTGATGAATTATTGCACATTTTGAGTAGAATTTATTCTGCAAAATTTTGAGATGATGATGGTGATTTGAGGTTAATTTAACAATGTTTAAACACACTGATTTGTTTTTAATAACTTCGTGTTTCTAAGAACACTCTTTTCTTTTTTCTGTTATAATTAACAATCAGATGTTTTAACAAATTTTCCGTTGTTATCACGAAAACGAAAATCGCAAAATCAAATTTTATAATATTATAAAGAAGCAAAAAAATTCAATTTCCGTTTTCGTCAATTGAAATAAATTCAAGATAATCTTTTATCCATGAATTTATTAAAGTTTATTATTTTTTCTTGTTGAGATGGGTATGAGTGGAACCACGATGAATCACAATTGAGATAGGGTGGGTGGGCGGGGCTTATATTTTGCCTTTTTTTTCTTAACGTTTGTAGTCTTCTTTTCACAACAGAAAAGCTAAAACGTGTTTAAAACAAGAAATATGGATTTTGTAATGACGCTCCGCCCCTCAGTCTGACAACGAATGGAAAATTCATCACGATTAAGAACTGAGATCGGGGTGGGGCTTATCTTTTTTTATTGTTCTTTTCTTACCTAATACATATAGTTTTCTCTCACCAACACCACCACTGAAGAACATGTTTCACTTGGTAATTCTTGTATAGAAAAATACGGATTTTGCAATTAATACCAGCAAGTTTCAACATTGATATCACTGGTCTATTTTCAACTACATACAGAGACATCAAACACCAATACAAAAATCAAAAAGAAGTAAATAAAAGACGCGAAAAAAAAAGGCCCCGCCCACCCGCCCTGTTTTCTTAGAGGGTATGTCATTTGCCAAAATCCGCCTTATCTTAATGAGTACTAACTAACGACGAATAAAGAAAATAGTCACAATTGAGATATTGTTATGTTTTGCGTTTTTTCTTTCTAATTTTTTGAAATTTTGTTTTCTTATTTTTTGAAGTTTACAACCGACGGCTATTTTAATTTTTGACCCTTTGACTTTTTGTTTTTATGACTTTTCGGACGCTTGATTTTTTATTTTTTGCTACTTTTAGCTTCTGGCTGTGACGTGTTGATTTTTTTCTTTAATTTTTTTTATTTTTTGAACATCTGACCTTTGTTATTAACGTTTTATTTTTCTCACCTTTTCTTATTTTGATTTTTTTACCTTTAGACCCTTTCGTTTTTATTTTTGGTTTTTGGGTTTTTATTTGTTCAACATTTCGACCTTTTGTTTTTTATTTAGATGACATTCTGACGTTTTGCACTTTTGTTTTTTGATTTTTTGAATTTTTGGCCTTCGGGTTTTTTTATTTTTCGATTTTTTAGTTTTTGATTCTTGGACTTGTTGAATTTTGTCGTCATAATTTTTAGTTATTGAAGTTTTGGCCTTCTGATTTTTTGATCTTTTATTTTTTTGACTTTCCGACTACTTGTTTTTTTTTGGCATTTTTACGTTTTATTTATAATTTTTTCACTTTTACAATTACTTTTTTTATTTTTTGGCCATTTGATCTTTTGTTTTTTTGATTTTTACTTCCCGAGCGTAAGCAAAGGAAGTATTGTAATCGACTCCGTCGGCCGACTCTCTACTTTTACGTTTTCTCGATCTTTCATGACCCCTAGAAGACGAAGAAATAGGTCTCCCATTTCCGTCTGTCTGTCCGTCTGTCCGTCTGTCCGTCCGTCTGTCCGTCTGTCCGTCTGTCCGTCTGTCCGTCTGCCGTCCCGGATTTTTATTAGACAGATAATCTCCGAAAGTACTCGACCGATTGTTGTGAAATTTTGTACTTATATTAAGAATATCATGTAGATGGTAAAACGCTAACCAAAATTTGTCTAATCATCCCCACCACTAATGCGATGACGTCACTTCAAAATTGTACATAGTAAATGGGTTTTCAATTGTATAAAATAACATAGTCCTACACATGTAGTTTACAACTCTGAATCGATTTTTCACCCGAAACGTCCAGATCTTTGGAAAAAAAATCAAAATTATAAAACAACATTTTGAAATTTAATTTTTAATCTGCTAACCAGAATGCTTTGAAATGTTGCAGATATTTTAAGGCTATAAAGAGCATCATAAATCTTTAGTCAAAAAATATTTGCTTATCCCCTCCAAAAACTTGATGACGTCAGCTCAACAGTTTGTGGAATAAATCATATCTAAAATGTACAAAATATGATGAGTCTGTACTTGTGATCTATCACTCCATTCATATTTTTTGGATTTGCATATACAGGGTGATTCAAAAAAATTAATGAAAGCGTAAATTTATTTTACTGATTTACTCAGAAACTACAAAACCGAATGCTTTGAAATCTTGCAGATGTTTTAAGGTTTAAAAGAGCATAATAAATGTTTAGTCAAAATATATTTGCTTATCCCCTCCAAAACACTAACATTGCTGATTTAGTGATGACGCTTATCAAAGAAACGACTCCTATTAAAGGTAGAAGTTGCCGAGGAAAAAAAGGAAAATGAAGGAAAAATTTGTTAACAACTTGTCTTCACATTTGTCCTTATAAATAATAAATTAAATGTAATACATTTTTGTTTCCTTAAGAATACAAAGTTAACAAAGTTAGTTGAGTTACAAAAGTCTCTTTTGCTCCACGTTGGCCACCAACGAGCGATTTTCAAGATTTTTGTGAAACTTTGCTGGTTTTGAATTTGAATTTTCTGTCCTCGATAGTTGATGTTCAGCAAGAACCACGGGAAGGTCTGGAGCAGATCTCGCTAGGAAAGGAGAGGGCTAGGATTTGTTAATGAGGGATAGAACGTTATACAGTACAATACAAAAGAAATACAATACAGGTACCTACAATCTAACTACAATACAGAATACACTACAGATACAGATACAATTTAGATACAAAACAAATGCAAAGTTAGTACCCAATTCATCACCGGAAGAAATTGCACCAAAAATTGAGAATGTTGCAAAATGAAAACCCAAGCAAGCACACCGATGGAACTCGGAACGAAATCTATTGGTCGCAGTGCTCGTTCGCCCAAGGCAGGAATGCAGCCGCATAAATCCAAGGCCGACTGACCTCATCCTTATAGGATGATGCGACCCAGCGTCTAAGGGCCAACAGAACCCCCCCAGACCAAGAGCTCCTGACGACATGGAGAATTCAGACCTGGAACCAAAGGATGCGCTGTTGCAAAATGAAAACCCAAGCAAGCACACCGATGGAACTCGAAACGAAATCTATAGGTCGCAGCGCTCACACGCCCAAGGGAGAACGCAGCCGCATAGATACAGGGCCGACTGACCTCATCCCTTTGGGATGATGAACCTCATCCTTTTAGGATGATGACCCAGCGTCTAAGGGCCCAGAGAACCCCCCCAGGCCAAAGCGTCTGACGACATGGAGAATTCAGTCTCGGAACCAAAGAATGCACTGTTGCAAAATTAAAACCCAAGCAAATGCACCGTGAAAACAAAGCATTTGCACCACTGGAGCTAAATTGGCAAGACCCAAGTTAAGTTAGTAACACATACAATATACAGTACAAAATGGTTCAATTACAAAAGTTACAATATACAAATTTCTCCACGTTTGCCACCAAAGAGCGATGACTGTGCTCGCTCGTTGTTGTTGTCCAGCAAGAACCAAACAATACGAGGAGGTCTGGAGTGCGTCTTGCCATGAGAAAAACAATAAATTAGAAATTCGCGAACATGGGCTACTTTTAAGCGAAAACGGAGCTCCGAATGCTCAGATGTTGCTGCCACCAGACCGAAATCAAAACTAACCGAAAACCGCAATATTTGTTCAGGTGGCTCTCGTGACAGTGATGTCATCAAACATCACGATGAGATTGCAAACATTATTTTTCATATTTTGACTGGAACATTGCACGTTTTTAATATGTTCACGTTTGTAGGAAAACGGCTTTAATTATATTAATTAATACTTATCATATTTAAACAGTATATATAAATTAAAACTACAACCGTATTTACTCCGTTTTTGGGAATTTTTGGAAAAATGCACACTTTGTTTCGTGTTCACAGAGCTAATGCAGAACATTTTCATTAATATGTATTATCAATGAATTAGAAATTCGCGAAAACGTGGTAGTTTTACGCCAGAACGGGGCTCCGAATGCTCCGACGTTGCTGCCACCAGATCGAAATCAAAACTGAACACAACGGACCGAAGACCGTGCCTTTGCTCAAGTGGTCACGTGACAGTGACGTCATGGTGTGTCACCATGAGATTACTAAAATTATTTTTCATACTTTGCCCGGAAAATTGCAATTCAACAATGTTTAAACAAATTGAATTGTTTAAATATTATTTAATTGTGTCATGATAGTTTCTTAGCAGTGTTTGCACGAGTTGATTTCATTAACAATTGTAAATCTGTCATTTATCACCATGTGTTATTATATACAACGAATAATTTTAAAAATAAATAAATAAATAAATTCGCCACTTTGTTGCGAAATTGTTTCCTTACTTTCCTTATTCGGAACAGACGTCTTCACGTGGTGAACGTTCAACTCAGACTGCCCAAAAGTGGCCGCCGACCTGTATATATACCGGTTGGCTGACGCAACAAGACGTTCGCGAATGTTCGGGAAGCTATTCCTTTGTCTGAATACGTCGTGACGTCACGATTCGCGACGTCACAATATGAATCTTTAATTTATCAATGTATTATTAGCAACTGAAATGTTTATATAAATCTTTTTAAACATTGTTTGTTTATATTTTTAATTTACAATGTACAGGCTAAAAAAAATGTTAAATACTGGTTGTCTGACACAACAACACGTTCGGGAATGTTCGAGAAGCTATTCCTTTGTTTGAATATGTCGTGACGTCACGATTCCCGACGTCACAATTTAAATCTTTAATTTATCAATGTATTATTGGCAACTGAAATGTTTATATAAATCTTTTTAAACATTGTTTGTTTATATTTGTTAATTTACAATGTACAGGCTAAAAAATTGTTAAATACTGGTTGGCTGACGCAACAACACGTTCGGGAATGTTCGAGAAGCTATTCCTTTGTTTGAATATGTCGTGACGTCACGATTCCCGACGTCACAATTTAAATCTTTAATTTATCAATGTATTATTGGCAACTAAAATGTTTACATAAATCTTTTTAGACATTGTTTGTTTATATTAGTTAATTTACAATGTACAGGCTAAAAAATTGTTAAATACTGGTTGGCTGACGCAACAACACGTTCGGGAATGTTCGGGAAGCTATTCCTTTGTTTGAATATGTCGTGACGTCACGATTCGCGACGTCACAATTTAAATCTTTAATTTATCAATGTATTATTGGCAACTAAAATATTCATAGAAATCTTTTTCTAGACATTGTTTATATTTGTCAATTTACAATGTATAGGCTAAAAAATTGGTCGAAGGCTATTTCGACAGACCTTCCCTCGCTTCTGAAATACAGCCCAACAAATACTGCTTTTCTGAAAAATTATACCCATAAAATTTGATTTTAAAAAAGCCTAATTTTGACAAATTACGCTAATAAAATAGATTCTAATAAAATAGAGGGTGGGCGGGCGGGGTTACTGTCTGTAAATAAAAGATTGTAGAAAAAAAGTTAAACTTAACCCCGCCCACCGTGTTCTTTCATTTTTACTTCCCGAGCGTAAGCAAAGGAAGTATTGTAATCGAGTCCGTTGGCCGACTCTCTACTTTTACGTTTTCTCGATCTTTCATGACCCCTAGAAAACGTAGAAATAGGTCTCCTATTTCCGTCTGTCTGTCCGTCTGTCCGTCCGTCTGTCCGTCCGTCTGTCCGTCCGTCTGTCCGTCCGTCTGTCCGTCTGTCCATCTGTCCGTCTGTCCGTCTGTCCGTCTGTCCGTCTGCCGTCCCGGATTTTTATTAGACAGATAATCTCCGAAAGTACTAGACCGATTGTTGTGAAATTTTGTACATATATTAAGAATATCATGTAGATGGTAAAACGCTAACCAAAATTTGTCTAATCATCCTCACCACTAATGCGATGACGTCACTTCAAAATTGTACATAGTAAATGGGTTTTCAATTGTATAAAATAACATAGTCCTACACATGTAGTTTACAACTCTGAATCGACTTTTCACCCGAAACGTCCAGCTTTTTGGAAAAAAAATCAAAATTATAAAACAACATTTTGAAATTTAATTTTTAATCTGCTAACCAGAATACTTTGGAATGTTGCAGATGTTTTAAGGCTATAAAGAGCATCATAAATCTTTAGTCAAAAAATATTTGCTTATCCCCTCCAAAAACTTGATGACGTCAGCTCAAAAGTTTGTGGAATAAATCATATCTAAAATGTACAAAATATGATGAGTCTGTACTTGTGATCTATCACTCCATTCATATTTTTTGGATTTGCATATACAGGGTAACTCAAAAAAATTAATGAATGCGTAAATATATTTTACTGATTTACTCAGAAACTACAAAACCGAATGCTTTGAAATCTTGCAGATGTTTTAAGGTTATAAAGAGCATAATAAATGTTTAGTCAAAATATATTTGCTTATCCCCTCCAAAAACTTGATGACGTCAGCTCGAAAGTTTGCCGAATAAATCCTATCTAAACTGTAAAAATATGATGAGTCTGTACTTGTAATTTATCACTCCATTCATATTTTTTGGATTTGCATATACAGGGTGACTCAAAAAAATTAATGAATGCGTAAATTTATTTTATTGATTTAATCAGGAACTACAAAACCGAATGCTTTGAAATCTTGCAGATGTTTTAAGGTTATAAAGAGCATAATAAATTTTTAGTCAAAATATATTTGGTTATCTTCTACAAAAAACTGATGACGTCAGCTCAAAAGTTTGCCGAATAAATCGTATCTAAAATGTACAAAATATGATGAGTCTGTACTTGTGATTTATCATTCCATTCATATTTTTGGATTTGCATATGCAGGGTGACTCAAAAAAATTAATGAATGCGTGAATTTATTTTATCGATTTAATCAGGAATTACAAAACCGAATGCTTTGAAATCTTGGGAATATTTTAAAGTTATTATAAGCATGGTAAACTTTTATTCAAAATGTATTTGTTCATCCCTCCTAAAAAAATTGATGACGTCACCCTTAAATTTTGCTGAATAAATCCTATCTAAAATGCAAAAACTATGATGAGTTTGTACTTGTGATTTATCATTCCATTCATATTTTTTAGATTTTCTTAAGAGGTGGTTCAAAAAAATTAATGAAGTCAATTTATTTTATTGATTAAATTAAAAGCAACACTTATTATTAGTATTACACCCCAACCAACCCAATTTGGTAGACACAAAATGTGTTAAAGGAAAAACTCAGTTGAAACATAAGGGTAGCACGCTTATTTACATCGACTTTAACATTACAGACCTGCATTTGTTTTATGCGCTCACTTGGTTCCGCGAATGTGGAATAGACATGTTTATAATCAACCAATTGTGAATTTCACCGTCAAGAATTAAAATAAAACCCAATGTTTTATATAATAAGCGGAAGTCGAAGCAATAAAACCGATGGTCGTTTTGTTTACAGTTTCTCTGTTTGACTCTCACGTATGCTGTTACGCTTGTCATCTTAAATTAAGAATGTTTATACATAAACGATTTTCAGTTGCCCCTCATATTACTAGACAGCGCATTTCTGTCGGGCTACGTCACGATTATAGGGGGGGGACGTGCTGGATCGCCGGGTGATAGATAATCACTGAATTTAATCGGTACTAATTCCATAAATATAATTAACGATTTATTAATCAAACGGCTAAGTAAATGAGAACGGGAATTAACAGCAGAGTGCAACGAAACAGCGTTATTCTAATCTCAAATAAACGAAGTGCAGTCCGCAACCGCAATGAATTCGCATCCCGTACGAGCCGTACCGAGTTTGGCCTTGCCTAGCCCGACAGAAATCCGCTTTCTAGATATTACACACCGGCGCCGTATACGTGAGTAAATTGTTTCGTTATTTTATTGATTATAAGAAATCAATATTCAAAACGACCCAATTCATTTTCCCGAAAATTTGGGAATACAATAATTTTTTTCTTAGTATTACACTACATCTATCCCAACTGATATACGTGTCCTTGCAAAAATGTTGATGACGTCATCACAATTTTTTTTTAAATTCCCACTACAAAAATGTAATGAGAAAAAAAAACACAATAGGCATGCAGTCGTCAAGTTTCCGACAGCGAGGGGAGTACTGTCTAAACTCTTTAGACCAATTTTTTTCTACTGTTTTGGAAATCCTAGCTTAGAAAACTTGAAAACGTTTTCATCTATTTCCTGGAGGGACTAGACACCTATTATAGGTAAATTCTTATTAAAGCAGTAAATGCTACTCTGAAGCAGGACCAAATTTTATTTTCCCAATATATCTTAATTTTATGTATGTATATGGTTATTCATTCATTCACTAATGAAAGTGAAGAATGTACATACAATATAAAATATCACCTACATGTACACTAACAAGAATGCAGTTTTGAAAAATGTGAAGTTTCCTGGAAGAATTGGACACCTACTACATTCGGCACTGCCTGGGGGGCAAAACAGATGCATGGCATACCCTGGCACAAACTGCCATATCCACCCCTTGTTCTCGTTGGTGCTGAACCGCCCATTTTTCCACTTTAAAAAAACACTCACAATTCCACGGATTATCATCAATTCTAGTATGACGAGCGACAAAAAAATTCTCGTACTTTCCTTCCAAACACTGCAATTTATTCCTTGACATATCAAGAGTTTTAATTTTCGCACCTTTCACAAAATCTTCCTTCCACTCTTCGATTTCGTTTCGAGAAAACCACAAGTTCCCAAAAGTTATATTGTCATCAGACCCAAAAATATCCCGTGAAACACTCTTAATTTTGTTATTGTTAAGATGAGCGTCTTTGTGGTAGTTGGCGAAAGCACCACTGGGGAGGTGTTCGATCTGGTTGTAACCCAAACGCACAGTACCAAGAAGTGGTTTCCCTTGCAACCATTCTGGGTGGAAAATTTTGATTTGGTTGCGGTTTAAATCCAACATGGTTAGTTTCGTCATGTTGTCAAAAGCGTGAGGAGAGATGGTTTCGATTAGGTTTTGGTCCAGGTTGAGGTAGAGCAGATTCAAGTTCGAGAATACTCCTGCTTCGATGGTTGTTAGTTTGTTTTCGGAAAGTTTCAAGCTTTTCAGAACTGGGAGATTTTCGAAAGCGCCAGGATGGATTTGTTCGATTCCAGATCGTGATAGTACTAGGTACTTCAAAACAGGAAAATTTGTAATAGAGTCTGGGTAAATAATGGGAAGTGAACCTTCTAGTACTGCGATTCCGGTTATTTGAGAAGTGTTCCATGCATTCTTCAGATTATTTTCAGATATTATTCCAGCAGTGAAATATTGGTCGTCTTCGGCTGCATATCGGATTTTCACATGATTGAACGTCACGTTTTGTGATAATGATAATGCACTGAGAATAAACGTGGTAAGAAGAATGAACTGAGAATTTCGTGCTATCATTGTTTCGGACTAAAAGAACTGAGCTACTTTTCGTAATTTATATAATATTCCTTGAATAAAAATATAAACATATACTTACTAAAAAAGATATGTTATGAACGTTTTTTGTGTATGGAATTATCAAAAATAGTATATTTATTTTCGCTTAGGAATTATTTATATGCTTGCATAACACTACGACTCGTCTCGGCTTGAGAATGAGTGGAAAAAAATTAGAATTTTTGATAACTTCGTACAAAATAAAAACGATAACATTTGTTTTTCAATAACGATTACATCATGTGCCAATTATAGTATATATTGGACGGACATTTAAAGTCTACCCACGTAAAATTACTCAAACTTTTCCAGTTCAAGATGATATCTGCTCAGAAATGTAATTCCACTAGTCAGTTTTTGTAATTGATAATAAAAATATCCCATCCGAAAATCTTCAGTAAAAAGCTAAAGATTCATTCCGAAAATCTTTAGTAAAAGGCAACAGATTCTATCGTACAATCTTTAGTCAAAAAGACGAAATATTTCATCCGAAAATCTATAGTAAAAGGTAAGATTATATCTGAAAATATTTAGTAAAAGGTGAAAGATCCAAAGATTTATTCCAAAAATGTGTAGGAAAATGTGAAAGCTTCAAGTCGAAAATCTTTACTAAAAAACAAAAAATTCATTTCGAAAATCTTTAGTAAAAGGCGAAAGATTACATCCAAAAATCTTTAGTAAAAAGCTAAAGATTCAGATTCCATCTGAAAATGTTATGTACAAGGCGAAAGATGGAAAATTTTGGAACAATTGGGACCAGCGACTATGGTTGTAAAATTATGCAAAATTTTTTCTCTAATCACCTTTATTATCAATTATTAAGAATAATTTCAATGTAACTACATTATCATAGTCGGAAACTTACCAGTGGAGTTGCATTTTTTGGCCGAGTTCTCCACATTGATTCCAAAATCTTCTTGGTTGTCAACAGCCCACTTCGCAATTTTCAACAAACACTCACAGTCCCACGGATTATTGTCAATATAAGTTTGACGAGCGACAAAGAAATTTTCGTAGTTTCCTTCCAAACACTGTATTTTATTCGACATCATCGCAAGAGCTCTAACTTCACCACCCTTGACAAAATCTTCCTTCCATTCTTCGATTTCGTTATAACCCAACGACAACTGTCCAAAAACTATCTTGTCATCCGTGCCAAAAATATCCCTTGACACACTCTTAATTTTATTATGGTGAAGATGCACGTCGTTGTGAAAATTCGCAAAAATCCCGCTGGCCAAGTGCTCGATCTGATTGTACTGCAAATTCACACCCTCAAGTTTCGGTTTTCCTTGTAACCACTCCGGGTGGAAATTTTTAATCTTGTTGTCGACTAAATCCAGTAACACTAATTTTCGCATGTTGTCGAAAGCATGTGGAGAGATGTTTTCAATCAGATTATGATCCACAAAAAGGACCTCTATAGTCGAGTTTGAAAATACTCCATCTTCGATGTTTGTTAGCTTGTTCTGGCCAAGTTTCACAGTCTTCAGAAGTGGTAGGTTATTAAGTGCACCAGGGCGGATTTCTTCGATTCCACGGCGCAACAACCGCAACTCCGTCAAAGAAGGGAAGTCCGAGAAGGCATCTGCGGGAATAATGGGAACTGAACTATTCGTTATAATATTTGAGGAATTTATTTCAACAACGATTGTAGCGAGAAGAAGGAACGATAAACTTGGCGCAAACATCATGCTGAACTGAAACGGGTGACTTATTTTCGCGTAGATAGAGTGAAGATGTCGAATTTATACCATTCTTGACGTATGACGTGATTGTTATTCAAAAACAAATGTTATCAATCTTATTTTGTTCCGGGTTATCGAAAATTTTGTTTGTATGTGGTGTGATGACTAATGACCAACCTATCGTCCCACATTACGGTCTAAAAATTAAGAAAACTTTACTAAATTTTCAGGTTTTACATACCAAAATTTTTTAATATTTCGCCTTTTACCAAATATTTTCTGAACGAATCTTCCACTTTTTACTAAGATTTTGTGGAATGAATCTTTCGCCTTTTACTGAAAATTTTCGTAGTGAATCTTTCGCCTTTCTCTGAAGATTTATACATGAAATTTTTCTGCTTTTACTAAACATTTTAATCTTACCCCTTTTACAAAATATTCCGGAATCTTTGGTTTGTTACTAAAGATTTTCCAATGAAATTTTTTTTTACCAAAGATTATAGGATAGAATTTTTTAACTTTTACGAAAGATTTTCGGATGAAATTTTTCACTCTTTGCTAAACAGTTTTGGAAGGAATCGTTCGATCTTTCGCCTTTGACTAAATATTTTCGGATGAACTCTTCGGATGGAGTCTTTTGTCTTTATTATTATTTAGATTTTCGGATTGAATCTTTCGCCTTTTCAATAACATTTTGCGATGGAGTCTTACCCCTTTTACTAAATATTTTCCGAATGAATTTTTGGTCTTTTAGTAAAGATTTTCAACTTGAAACTTTCACTTTTTACTAGATATTTTTGGAGTAAATCTTTGGAACTTTCACCTTTTACTAAATATTTTCCAATAGAATAAGAAGCTTTTGCCTTTTTCTAAAGATTTTTCGACTTGAATTTTTCATTTTTTACTGGACATTTTTGGAAATAATCTTTCGATCTTTCGCCTTTTACTAAACATTTTCAGCATTAACAAGATAAGACTGATTTTGGCACTTTTGACATTTTCCACCATTTTTCAACCATTTGCGGAAATTAGTTGAAGCCATTTTCTTGTAGATTTCGATATCCAAAAGTCACTTTCGGCTTCGTTTCTTCAAAAATTCCTACGGTTTTTCGAAAATCGCCAATTGAAGTACAGTTATTTTAAAGATTACCGCTTTTTTTTTTCACGTCCTAGATTCTATTATTAATTTCCATTCCCACTCGACAGAAGAAAATAATTACCCCTTTTACTAAAGATTTCCGGAATGAATCTTTCGTTTTTTACTCAAGGTTGCACGATAGAATCTTTTGCCTTTTACTAAATATTTTTGGATGGAATTTTCGGCTTTTTACTAAAAACTTTCGACATGAATCTTTCACTTTTCACTAGACATTTTTGGAAGGAATCGTTCGATTTTTCGCCTTTTACCAAAGATTTTCGGTTGGATTTTTTCCTCTTTTACTGGAAATTTGCGGAAGAAATTGCCATCTTACTAAAAATTTTCGTTTTGGATCTCTGGCCTTTTACATAGAATTTTCAGATGGAATCATTCGCCTTTTATTAAAGATTTTCAAACTTTAATTTTTCGCCTTTAATTGAAAATTTTCGGATGGAATCTTTGGCCTTTTACTAACAATTTTCAGATTGAATCTTACCCCTTTTACTAAAGACATTCAGCTTGTGTCTTTCACTTTTTACTAGCATTTTTAAAAGAAATTTTGGAATAAAAGAGCTAGGTTATTTTCCGCATATGGTAAAAACAAAAGTTTGTTTTTCGAATTTTTGGCCTTTGGATTTTTCATTTTTTGACTTTTTTAGCTTTTGATTCTTTGATTTGTTGAATTTTGCCGTCATAATTTTTAGTTATTGAACTTTTGGCCTTCTGACTTTTTGATCTTTTATTTTTTTGACTTTCCGGCTACTTGTTTCTTTTTTGGAATTCTTACGTTTTATTTATAATTTTTTGACTTTTACAATTACTTTTTTTATTTTTTGGCCGTTTGATCTTTTGTTTTTTTGATTTTTTAACTTGTGTTCTTAAGTTGTTTATTTGACCTTTTGATCTTTTTAGATATTTGATGATCTTTTGACGTTTTGACATTTTGTTTTTTTATTTTTGTATTTTCGACGTTTTGAAATTTTGTGTTTTTATTTTTTGACCTTTCGAGTTTTGACATTCTAACAAACCTTTTGACATTTTCTTCTACTGTTTTGAAAACGTTTTCATCTATTTCCTGGAGGGACTGGATATCTATTATAGGCAAATTCTTATCAAATCAGTAAATGCTACACTCAAGCAGGACCAAATTTTATTTTCCCAATATATCTTATTTTTATGTATGTACAAGTATATGGTTATTCATTCATTCACTAATGAAAGTGAAGAATGGACATACAATATAAAATATCACCTACATATACACTGACAAGAATGCAGTTTCGAAAAATGTAAAGTTTCCTGGAAGAATTGGACACCTACTATATTCGGCACTGCCTGGGGGGCAAAAGAGATAGATGGCATACCCTAGCACAAAATGTCATATCCACCCCATGTTCTCGTTGGTGCTGAACCGCCCATTTATCCACTTTAAAAAAACACTCACAATTCCACGGATTATCATCAATTCTAGTTTGACGTGCGACAAAAAAATTCTCGTACTTTCCTTCCAAACACTGCAATTTATTCCTTGTCATATCAAGAGTTTTAATTTTCGCACCTTTCACAAAATCTTGCTTCCACTCTTCGATTTCGTTCCGAGAAAACAACAAGTTCCCAAAAGTTATATTGTCATCAGACCCAAAAATATCCCGTGAAACACTCTTAATTTTGTTATTGTTAAGATGAGCGTCTTTGTGGTAGTTGGCGAAAGCACCACTGGGTAGGTGTTCGATCTGGTTGTACCCCAAACGCACAGTACCAAGAAGTGGTTTCCCTTGCAACCATTCTGGGTGGAAAATTTTGATTTGGTTGCGGTTTAAATCCAACATGGTTAGTTTCGTCATGTTGTCAAAACCGTGAGGAGAGATGGTTTCGATTAGGTTTTGGTCCAGGTTAAGGTAGAGCAGGTTCAGGTTTGAGAATACTCCTGCTTCGATGGTTGTTAGTTTGTTTTCGGAAAGTTTCAAGCTTTTCAGAACTGGTAGATTTTCGAATGCGCCAGGATGGATTTGTTCGATTCCAGATCGTGATAGTACCAGGTACTTCAAAATAGTGAAATCTGTAATAGAGTCTGGGTAAATAGTGGGAAGTGAACCTTCAAGTACTGCGATTCGGGTTATTTGAGAAGTGTTCCATGCATTCTTCCGATTATTTTCAGATATTATTCCAACAGTGAAATATTGGTCGTCTTCGGCTGCATATCGGATTTTCACATGGTTGAATGTCACGTTTTGTGATAATGTTAATGCACTGAGAATAAACGTGGTAAGAAGAATTAACTGAGAATTTCGTGCTATCATTGTTTCGGACTAAAAGAACTGAGCTACTTTTCGTACTTTATATAATATTCCTTGAATAAAAATATAAACATATACTTACTAAAAAAGATATGTTATCAACGTTTTTTGTGTCTAGAATTATCAAAAATTGTATATTTATTTTCGCTTAGGAATTATTTATATACTTACATAACACTACGACTCGTCCCTGCTTCAGAGTGAGTGGAAAAAAATTAGAATTTTTGATAAATTCGTTACAAAATAAAAATGATAACATTTGTTTTTCAATAACGATTACATCATGTGCCAATTATAGTATATATTAGACGGACATTTAAACTCTACCCACGTAAAATTACTCAAAGTTTCATTCCGAAAATCTTTAGTAAAAGGCAAAAGATTCGATCGTACAATCTTTAGTCAAAAAGAAGAATGATTTCATCTGAAAATCTATAGTAAAAGGTAAGATTATATCTGAAAATATTTAGTAAAAGGTGAAAGATCCAAAGATTTATTCCAAAAATGTCTAGGAAAATGTGAAAGCTTCAAGTCGAAAATCTTTACCAAAAACAAAAAATTCATTTCGAAAATCTTTAGTAAAAGGCGAAAGATTACATCCAAAAATCTTTAGTAAAAAGCTAAAGATTCAGATTCCATCTGAAAATGTTATGTAAAAGGCGAAAGATGGAAAATTTTGGAACAATTGGGACCAGCGACTATGGTTGTAAAATTATGCAAAATTTTTTCTCTAATCACCTTTATTATCAATTATTAAGTATAATTTGAATGTAAGTACATTATCATAGTCGGAAAGTCACCAGTGGAGTTGCATTTTGTGGCCGAGTCCTCCACATTGATTCCAAAATCTTTCTGGTTGTCAACAGCCCACTTCGCAATTTTCAACAAACACTCACAGTCCCACGGATTATTGTCAATGTAAGTTTGACGAGCGACAAAGAAGTTTTCGTAGTTTCCTTCCAAACACTGTATTTTATTTGATGTTATAATTAGAGCTCTAATTTCACCACCCTTGACAAAATCTTCCTTCCATTCTTCGATTTCGTTATAACTCAACCACAACTGTCCAAAAACTATCTTGTCATCCGTGCCAAAAATATCCCTTGACACACTCTTAATTTTATTATGGTGAAGATGAACGTCGTTGTGATAATTCGCAAAAATCCCACTGGTCAAGTGCTCGATCTGATTGTACTGCAAATTCACACCCGCAAGTTTCGGTTTTTCTTGTAACCACTCCGGGTGGAAATTTTTAATCTTGTTGTCGACTAAATCCAGTAACACTAATTTTGGCATGTTGTCAAAAGCATGTGGAGAGATGTTTTCAATCAGATTATGATCCACATAAAGGACCTCTATAATCGAGTTTGAAAATACTCCATCTTCGATGTTTGTTAACTTGTTCTCGCTCAGTTCCACAGTCTTCAGAAGTGGTAGATTATTAAGTGCACCAGGGCGGATTTCTTCGATTCCACGGCGCAACAACCGCAACTCCGTCAAAGAAGGGAAGTCCGAGAAGGCATCTGCGAGAATAATGGGAACTGAACTATTCGTTATAATATTTGAGGAATTTATTTCAACAACGATTGTAGCGAAAAGAAGGAACGATAAACTTGGCGCAAACATCATGCTGAACTGAAACGGGTGACTTATTTTCGCGTAGATAGAGTGAAGATGTCGAATTTATACCATTCTTGACGTATGACGTGATTGTTATTCAAAAACAAATGTTATCAATCTTGTTTTGTTCCGGGTTATCGAAAATTTTGTTTGTATGTGGTGTGATGACTAATGACCAACCTATCGTCCCACATTACGGTCTAAAAATTAAGAAAACTTTACTAAATTTTCAGGTTTTACATACCAAAATTTTTTAATATTTCACCTTTTACCAAATATTTTCTGAACGAATCTTCCACTTTTTACTAAGATTTTGTGGAATTAATCTTTCGCCTTTTACTGAAAATTTTCGTAGTGAATCTTTCGCCTTTCTCTGAAGATTTATACATAAAATTTTTCTGCTTTTACTAAACATTTTAATCTTACCCCTTTTACAAAATATTCCGGAATCTTTGGTTTGTTACTAAAGATTTTCCAATGAAATTTTTTTTTTACCAAAGATTATAGGATAGAATCTTTCAACTTTTACGAAAGATTTTCGGATGAAATTTTTCAGTCTTTCGGATGAACTCTTCGGATGGAGTCTTTTGTCTTTATTATTATTTAGATTTTCGGATTGAATCTTTCGCCTTTTCAATAACATTTTGCGATGGAGTCTTACCCCTTTTACTAAATATTTTCCGAATGAATTTTTGGTCTTTTAGTAAAGATTTTCGACTTGAAACTTTCACTTTCTACTAGACATTTTTGGAGTAAATATTTGGAACTTTCACCTTTTACTAAATATTTTCCAATAGAATAAGAAGCTTTTGCCTTTTTCTAAAGATTTTTCGACTTGAATCTTTCATTTTTTACTAGACATTTTTGGAAATAATCTTTCGATCTTTTTATTAAACATTTTCAGTATTAATAAGATAAGACTGATTTTGGCACTTTTGACATTTTCCACCGTTTTTCAACCATTTCCGAAAATTAGTTAAAGACATTTTCTCGTAGATTTCGATATCCAAAAGTCAATTTCGAGTTCGTGTCTTGGGTAATTTCCACCATTTTTCCAAAATCCCTAATTGAAATTCAGCTCTTTTAAAGATTAGTGCTTTTTTACTTTTTTCACATCCTAGGTTCTATTATTAGTTTCCACTCCCACTCGACAGGAAAAAATAATTAGCTCCGCCCACTCACCCAGTCTCCTTTTCAGTGATCGATTTCTTCTGATCTGAATGAATTGATTGAACTTATACTGAACAGAAATAAATTTAGTTGTTAGAATTAGAAGAGGCGTGAGTGGGTGGTGCTAGTGTTTGCTAAAATAAGACTAATTTTGGCAAATGACATATCCTTAAAGAAAATAGACGGGTGGGTGGGCGGGGCTAGTATTGATAACATAAGACTGATTTTGGCACTTTTGACATTTTCCACCATTTTTCAATTATTTCCGAAAATTAGTTGCACATTTTCTTATAGATTTCGATATCCAAGTCACTTTCGGCTTCGTTTTTTCGAAAATTCCTACCGTTTTTCGGAAATCGCCAATTAAAATACAGCTATTTTAAAGATTCGCGCTTTTTTTACTTTTTTCACATCCTAGATTCTATTATTTGTTTCCACTTCCTCTCGACAGAAGAAAATAATTAGCCCCGCCCACCCACCCAGTCTCCTTTTCAGTGATCGATTTCATCTGATCTGAATGAAATGAATGATCTTATACTTAATAGAAATAAAATTAGTCGTTAGAAATAGAAGAGGGGTGGGTGGGTGGTGCTAGTGTTTGCTAAGATAAGACTAATTTTGGCAAATGACATATCCATAAAGAAAACAGAGGGTGGGTGGGCGGCGCTAGTATTGATAAGATAAGACTGATTTAGACACTTTTGACATTTTCCACCATTTTTCAACTATTTCCGAAAATTATTTACACATTTTCTTATACATTTGGATATCCAGAAATCACTTTCGGCTTCATTTCTCAAAAATTCCTACCGTTTTTCGAAAATCGCAAATTGAAAAACAGATTTTATTTTTATTTTAAAGATTAGCGTTTTTTTTAAATCGTAGATTCTTTATTAGTTTCCACTCCCACTAGACAGAAGAAAATAATTAGCCCCGCCCACCCACCCTGTCTCATTTTCAGTGATTGATTTCATCTGATCTAAATGAAATAAATGATCTTATACCGAACAAAAATAAAATTGGTCGTGAGAATTAGATGAGCGGTGGGTGGGCGGTGCTAGTGTTTGCTAAGATGAGACTAATTTTGGCAAATGACATATCCTCTAAGAAAATAGAGAGTGCGTGGGCGGGGCTAGTATTGATTTGATAAGACTGTTTTTTTTGGCAATTTCGACATTTTCCATCGTTTTTCAACGATTTCCGAAAATTACTTGAAGACATTTTCTTGTAAATTCGACATCGAGAAGTCATTTTCGGCTTCGTTCCTTGGGAAATTGTTGCCGTTTTCCAAAAATCGCTAACTGAAATCCAGCTATTTTAAAGATTGGCGCTTTTTTACTTTTTCTACATCGTAGATTCTATTATTAGATTCCACTCTCGATAGAAGAAAATAATTGGCCCCACCCACCCACCCAGTCTCCTTTTCAGTGATTGATTTCATCAGATATAAATGAAATGAATGATCTTATACTGAACTAAAATAAAATTAGTCGTTAGGATGAAACGAGGGGTGGGTGGGTGGTTGGGGCTAATGTTTGCTAAAATAAGACTAATTTTGGCGAATGACTTATCCTTAAAGAGAACAGAAGGTGGGTGGGCGGGGCTAGTACTGATAAGCTAAGACTCATGTAGGCACTTTTGACATTTTCCACCATTTTTCAATCATTTGCGGAAATTAGTTCAAGCCATTTTCTTGTAGATTTCGATATCCAAAAGTCATTTCGGCTTCGTTTCTTCAAAAATTCCTACGGTTTTTCGAAAATCGCCAATTGAAGTACAGTTATTTTAAAGATTACCGCTTTTTTTAATTTTTTTCACATCCTAGATTCTATTATTAATTTTCATTCCCACTCGACAGAAGAAAATAATTACCCCTTTTACTAAAGATTTCCGGAATGAATCTTTCGTTTTTTACTCAAGGTTGCACGATAGAATCTTTTGCCTTTTACTAAATATTTTTGGATGGAATTTTCGGCTTTTTACTAAAAACTTTCGGCATGAAATTTTTCACTTTTTACTAGACATTTTTGGAAGGAATCGTTCGATTTTTCGTCTTTTACCAAAGATTTTCGGTTGGATTTTTTCCTCTTTTACTGGAAATTTTCGGAAAAAATTTCCATCTTACTAAAAATTTTCGTTTTGAATCTTTGGCCTTTTACATAATATTTTCAGATGGAATCATTCGCCTTTTATTAAAGATTTTCAAACTTTAATTTTTCGCCTTTAAATGAAAATTTTCGGATGGAATCTTTGGCCTTTTACTAACAATTTTCAGATTGAATCTTACGCCTTTTACTAAAGACATTCAGCTTGTGTCTTTCACTTTTTACTAGCATTTTTAAAAGAAATTTTTCGAATCTTTCTTCTTTAAATAACATTTTCCGATGGAATCTTACCCCTTTTTACGGAATGAATTTTTGGTCTTTTAGTAAAGATTTTCGACTTGAAGATTTCACTTTTTACTAGACATTTTTGGAGTAAACTTTGGATCTGTCGCCTTTTACTAAATATTTTCCAATGGAATCATTGGCGTTTTACTAAATATTTTCAGATACAATCTTACCTTTTTACTAAAGATTGCCGGAATGAATTTTTCGCTTCTTTCTGAAGATGTTCGGATGAAATTTTTCACCTTCTTTACTAAAGATTATATAATAGAATCTTTTGCCTTTTACTAAAGATTTTTTGATGGAATTTTTCGTCTTTTATTAAAAATTTTTACTAGACGTTTTTGGAAGAAATTGTTCCATCTTTCGACTTTTACCAAAGATGGATTCTTTCCTCTTTTACTAAAAATTTTCAGATGAAGTTTGCGTCTTTTACAAAAATTTTCGTATTGAATCTTTCGCCTTCTACATAACATGTTCAAACGGAATCTTACGCCTTTTGCTAAAGATTTTCGGAATGAATCTTTAGCTCCTTATTGAAGATCTTCGGCATGAATATTTTGTCTTTTACTAAAGATTTTCAGCTTGGATCTTTCAAATTTTACTAGCATTTTTAGGAGAAATCTTCGACCTTTCGCCTTTCGCTCAACATTTTCGGACGGAATCTTTCACCTTTTACATAACATCTTCAAATGGAATCTGAATCTTTAGCTTTTTACTAAAGATTTTTGGATGTAATCTTTCGCCTTTTACTAAAGATTTTTGAAATGAATTTTTCGTTTTTTAGTAAAGATTTTCGACTTGAAGCTTTCACATTTTCCTAGACATTTTTGGAATAAATCTTTAGATCTTTCACCTTTTACTAAATATTTTCAGATATAATCTTACCTTTTACTATAGATTTTCGGATGAAATCTTTCGTCTTTTTAACTAAAGATTGTACGATAGAATCTTTTGCCTTTTACTAAAGATTTTCGGATTGAATCTTTAGCTTTTCACTGAAGATTTTCGGATGGAATATTTTTATTATCAATTACAAAAACTGAGCAGTGGAATTACATTTCTAAGCAGATATCATCTTGAACTGGAAAAATTTGAGTAATTTTACGTGGGTAGAGTTTAAATGTCCGTCCAATATATACATACTATAATTGGCACATGATGTAATTGTTATTGAAAAACAAATGTTATCATTTTTATTTTGCACGACGTTATCAAAAATTCTAAATTTTTCCACTCACTCTGAAGCAGGGACGAGTCGTAGTGTTATGTAAGTATATAAATAATTCCTAAGCGAAAATAAATATACTATTTGTGGTAATTCCATACACAAAAAACGTTGATAACATATCTATTTTAGTAAGTATATGTTTATATTTTTATTCAAGGAATATTATATAAAGTACGAAAAGTAGCTCAGTTCTTTTAGTCCGAAACAATGATAGCACAAAATTCTCAGTTCGTTCTTCTTACCACGTTTATTCTCAGTGCATTATCATTATCACAAAACGTGACATCTAACCATGTGGTAATCCGATATGCAGTTCAAATTATATCTGAAAATAATCTGAAGAATGCATTGAACCCTTCTCAAATAACCCGAATCTCAATACTTGAAGGTTCACTTCCCATTATTCACCCAGACTCTATTACAGATTTTCCTGTTTTGAATTACCTGGTACTATCACGATCTGGAATCGAACAAATCCATCCTGGCGCATTCGAAAATCTCCCAGTTCTGAAAAGATTGCACCTTTCCGAAAACAAACTAACAACCATCGAAGCAGGAGTATTCTCAAACTTGAACCTGCTCTACCTCAACCTGGGCCAAAACCTAATCGAAACCATCTCTCCTCACGCTTTTGACAACATGACGAAACTAACCATGTTGGATTTAAACCGCAACCAAATCAAAATTTTCCACCCAGAATGGTTGCAAGGGAAACCACGTCTTGGTACTGTGCGTTTGGGGTACAACCAGATCGAACACCTACCCAGTGGTGCTTTCGCCAACTACCACAAAAACGCCCATCTTAACAATAACAAAATTAAGAGTGTTTCACGGGATATTTTTGGGTCTGATGACAATATAACTTTTGGGAACTTGTTGTTTTCTCAAAACGAAATCGAAGAGTGGAAGGAAGATTTTGTGAAAGGTGCGAAAATTAAAACTCTTGATATGTCAAGGAATAAATTGCAGTGTTTGGAAGGAAAGTACGAGAATTTTTTTGTCGCGCGTAAAACTAGAATTGATGATAACCCGTGGAATTGTGAGTGTTTTTTTAAAGTGGAAAAATGGGCGGTTCAGCACCAACGAGAACATGGGGTGGATATGGCAGTTTGTGCCAAGGTATGCCATGCATCTGTTTTGCCCCCCAGGCAGTGCCGAATGTAGTAGGTGTCCAATTCTTCCAGGAAACTTTACATTTTTCGAAACTGCATTCTTGTCAGTGTATATGTAGGTGATATTTTATATTTTATGTCCATTCTTCACTTTCATTAGTGAATGAATGAATAACCATATACATACATAAAAATAAGATATATTGGGAAAATAAAATTTGGTCCTGCTTGATTACTGATTACAGTCCCTCCAGGAAATAGATGAAAACGTTTTCAAAACAGTAGAAGATAATGTCAAAAGGTTAGGTTAGAATGTCAAAACTCGAAAGGTCAAAAAATTAAAACACAAAATCTCAAAACGTCGAAAATCCAAAAATAAAAAAACAAAATGTCAAAACGTCAAAAGATCATCAAATATCTAAAAAGATCAAAAGGTCAAATAAAAAACATAAGAACACAAGTTAAAAAATCAAAAAAACAAAAGATCAAACGGCCAAAAAATTAAAAAAGTAATTGTAAAAGTCAAGAAATTATAAATAAAACGTAAGAATTCCAAAAAAGAAACAAGTAGTCGGAAAATTAAAAAAAAAGATCAAAAAGTCAGAAGGCCAAAAGTTCAATAACTAAAAATTATGACGGCAAAATTCAACAAATCAAAGAATCAAAACCTAAAAAAGTAAAAAAAAATCCAAAGGCCAAAAATTCGAAAAATCAATAAACAAAAGGGCAAAACGTCAGAATATCATCTAAATAAAACAAAAGGTCGAAAGGTTAAACAAATAAAAAACCAAAAGCCAAAAAAAAACACGAAAATTCAAAGGGTCTAAAGGTAAAAAAATCAAAATAAGAAACGGTGAGAAAAATAAAACGTTAATAACAAAGGTCACAGCCAGAAGCTAAAAGTAGCAAAAAATAAAAAAAATCAAGCGTCCCGAAAGTCATAAAAACAAAAAGTCAAAAATTAAAAAATCAAAAGGACAAAAATGTCAAAAAGTTACAAAGAACAAACGGTCAGGTCAAAAAATCAATAAAGCAAAATGTTAAAAGGTCAAAAAATAAAAAAGCCGTCGGGTGTAAATTTAAAAAAAAATGAAAACAAAATTTCAAAAAATTAGAAAGAAAAAATGCAAAACATAAGCCCCACCCCCCACCCATTCTCAATTGTGACGATTTTCTATATTCGTCGTTAGTTAGTACTCATTAAGATAAGGCGGATTTTGGCAAATGAGATCCCTCTAAGAAAATGAGGGGCGGGGTTCGTACCTGCTAAAATAAAATCGATTTTGGCAAATGACATACCTTCCAAGAAAAGATAGGGTGGGTGGGCGGGGCTAGTACCTGCTAAGATAAGAGTGATTTTGGCAAATGACATGCCTTCCAAGAAAAGAGAGGGTGGGTGGGGGGGGGGGGCTAGTATCTGCTAAGATAAAAGAGATTTTGGCAAATGAGATACCCTCTAAGAAAACAGGGCGGGTGGATTTTTAATTTGAATAAAATATAAAATTTTATCAATAAAATCTTATTTAATAACTATTAGTTATATTAATTGACAATTAATTGACTTTAAACAAAAAGACCACGCCAAGACACGTGATAACAACGGTTTACGCGCTGTCAACTCTGCTGACGCAATTTGGTTCCAAACTAGGGGAATTTTTTGCGTTACCAACTGCATTTGCTCCACTCGTACAACAATGGAAGACGGTATGTATTTCTAAGAACTATAGATATTCCAAATGAGCTCCGCCCCTAGGTCTGTCAACGAATGAAAACTTCCACTAGGTATGGGTGGGACTTAATCTTTGGTTTTAATTTTTTCTTAATATGTATAACATTCTTTGAATAACACGATACTCAAAAACATGTTTTTAATTTCTCGTAGAGAAATAAGTATTTTGAAGATAAGCTCCGCCCTCTTGGCTCACGACGAATAAAAAAAATCATCACAATCGAGATTGGGTGGGTGGGCGGAGTTCTACATTTTGCCTTTTTTTCTTAATATGGGCAGATTTATTTCAACAATAAGAAATTCAAAACATGTCTAAAATGGTAAAGTTTTGTAGTAATCAACTTAAATCCTCTAATGTTCCACTCCACTATTAATTCACCCATACAAATAATTGAAGGTTAAGTTTTTCAATTTATTGGTCAATAACTTGCATCGTATAAAACCATCTTAAAAGATGAGACTAACTTTTTCAAATGATATACCCCCTAAGAAAATAAAGGGTGGGTGGGCGGGGACAGTATTTGCTAAGATAAGACGGCCTTTCTTTGTTCGCGTCTTTTATTTACTTCTTTCTGATTCTTGTATTGGTGTTTGTTGTCTCTGTATGTAGTTGAAAATAGACCAGTGATATCAATGTTGAAACTTGCTGGTATTAATTGCAAAATCCGTATTTTTTTATACAAGCATTACCAAGTGAAACATGTTCTTCAGTGGTGGTGTTGCTCAGAGAAAACTATATTTATTAAGTAAGAAAAGAACAATAAAAAAAAGATAAGCCTCACCCTGATCTCAGTTCTTAATCGTGATGAATTTTCCATTCGTTGTTAGACTGAGGGGCGGAGCGTAATTACAAAATCCATATTTCTTGTTTTAAACATGTTTTAGGTTTCCTGTTGCTAAAAGAAGACTACAAACGTTAAGAAAAAAAAAGGCAAAATATAAGCCCCGCCCACCCACCCTATCTCAATTGTGATGACTTTCTTTATTCATCAAGGATTTTTTTAAATATTATTTTCGAAGCACTGACGAATTATTTACATTATTCAAAGTTATACTTGTGATAACTGATAACAAACTAAAAATAAACGCAACACCAGGAAGGAGGGTGCAGTAAATTTCATGTAAATAAATTTTATTTTGGAATAAAACAGCTAAGTTATTTTCCGCATATGGTAAAAACAAAAGTTTGTTTTTCGAATTTTTGGCCTTCGGATTTTTCATTTTTTGACTTTTTTAGCTTTTGATTCTTTGATTTGTTGAATTTTGCCGTCATAATTTTTAGTTATTGAACTTTTGGCCTTCTGACTTTTTGATCTTTTATTTTTTTGACTTTCCGACTACTTGTTTCTTTTTTGGAATTCTTACGTTTTATTTATAATTTTTTGACTTTTACAATTACTGTTTTTATTTTTTGGCCGTTTCATCTTTTGTTTTTTTGATTTTTTAACTTGTGTTCTTATGTTTTTTATTTGACCTTTTGCTCTTTTTAGATATTTGATGATCTTTTGACGTTTTGACATTTTGTTTTTTTATTTTTGGATTTTCGACGTTTTGAGATTTTGTGTTTTTATTTTTTGACCTTTCGACTTTTGACATTCTAACCTAACCTTTTGACATTTTCTTCTACTGTTTTGAAAACGTTTTCATCTATTTCCTGGAGGGACTGGATATCTATTATAGGCAAATTCTTATCAAATCAGTAAATGCTACTCTCAAGCAGGACCAAATTTTATTTTCCCAATATATCTTATTTTTATGTATGTATATGGTTATTCATTCATTCACTAATGAAAGTGAAGAATGTACATACAACATAAAATATCACCTACATATACACTGACAAGAATGCAGTTTCGAAAAATGTAAAGTTTCCTGGAAGAATTGGACACCTACTACTTTCGGCACTGCTTTTGGGACATAAGAGTTAGATGGCACATCACGGCACAAAATCTCATATCCACCTCATGTTCTCGTTGGTGCTCAACTGCCCATTTTTCCACTTTAAGAAAACACTCACAATTCCACGGATTATCATCAATTCTAGTTTGACGCGCGACAAAAAAATTCTCGTACTTTCCTTCCAAACACTGCAATTTATTCCTTGTCATATCAAGAGTTTTAATTTTCGCACCTTTCACAAAATCTTCCTTCCACTCTTCGATTTCGTTTTCAGAAAACAACAAGTTCCCAAAAGTTATATTGTCGTCAGACCCAAAAATATCCCGTGAAACACTCTTAATTTTGTTATTGTTAAGATGAGCGTCTTTGTGGTAGTTGGCGAAAGCACCACTGGGTAGGTGTTCGATCTGGTTGTACCCCAAACGCACAGTACCAAGAAGTGGTTTCCCCTGCAACCATTCTGGGTGGAAAATTTTGATTTTGTTGCGGTTTAAATCCAACATGGTTAGTTTCGTCATGTTGTCAAAAGCGTGAGGAGAGATGGTTTCGATTAGGTTTTCGTCCAGGTTGAGGTCGAGCAGGTTCAAGTTTGAGAATACTCCTGCTTCGATGGTTGTTAGTTTGTTTTCGGAAAGTTGCAAGCTTTTCAGAACTGGGAGATTTTCGAAAGCGCCAGGATGGATTTGTTCGATTCCAGATCGTGATAGTACCAGATCCTTCAAATGAGGAAAATCTGTAATAGAGTCTGGGTAAATAATGGGAAGTGAACCTTCAAATACTGAGATTTGGGTTATTTGAGAAGTGTTCCATGCATTCTTCAGACTATTTTCAGGTATTATTTCAACTACATATCGGAATTCCACATGGTTAAATGTCACGTTTTGTGATAATGATAATGCACTGAGAATAAACGTGGTAAGAAGAACGAACTGAGAATTTCGTGCTATCATTGTTTCGGACTAAAAGAACTGACCTACTTTTCGTACTTTATATAATATTCCTTGAATAAAAATATAAACATATACTTACTAAAATAGATATGTTATCAACGTTTTTTGTGTATGGAATTATCACAAATAGTATATTTATTTTCGCTTAGGAATTATTTATATACTTACATAACACTACGACTCGTCCCTGCTTCAGAGTGAGTGGAAAAATTTAGAATTTTTGATAACTTCGTGCAAAATAAAAATGATAACATTTGTTTTTCAATAACAATTACATCATGTGCCAATTATAGTATGTATATATTGGACGGACATTTAAACTCTACCCACGTAAAATGACTCAAACTTTTCCAGTTCAAGATGATATCTGCTCAGAAATGTAATTCCACTGCTCAGTTTTTGTAATTGATAATAAAAATATTCCATCCGAAAATCTTCAGTGAAAAGCTAAAGATTCATTCCGAAAATCTTTAGTAAAAGGCAAAAGATTCTATCGTACAATCTTTAGTTAAAAAGACTAAAGATTTCATCCGAAAATCTATAGTAAAAGGTAAGATTATATCTGAAAATATTTAGTAAAAGGTGAAAGATCTAAAGATTTATTCCAAAAATGTCTAGGAAAATGTAAAAGCTTCAAGTCGAAAATCTTTACTA